ACAGTTCAGAAGGATATTCGGTTTACAAATATATAAAACAGAGTAAAGCAGCAAATCCTCACACTGGAGAAGCTAAAAACACAGATTTGGGGCATTTTCAGTATAGTTGCTGTCCATTAAATAGTCAACTAATTGTTTCATCTCTAATTTGTAAATGAAAGATTTTTAAAGTGTAACATGGAATCAAAACTTAAAAATGTCAAAATATTCAGCATCAAATTCAACATAGTGTCCAAGTGTCCATTTACAGGTTTTCCTTTCAGTCCCAAAACGTCCACCATGTCAAGATGATATCGTTTATATGTGTGTGTGAATATATGAACGCCTAGATGCCAGGCGAAGGGGGCGGAGTTTTTGAACGAGGCCTGCTATCACTAGTAATAGCAGGTCTCGTTCAGAGAGCTGGTGGTCGTTACAAAGCTCTTGACAGATCGAAAGACACCCGTTAATTTCAGGTTGACCTTGGTTTGTTTAGCATTCCCCACTGCTGCTGCTGACAGTGACACGTGTCTAAGGTTGGGCTGGGTTGACTCCAGGAGGGTGTGTGTGTGTGTGTGTGTGCGTGCAGATGGCTGGACCGTTAGGGATGCAGTCTTATATTCCCAAGAGAGGAGGCAGAGGTCAGGGATCAAAGCCTCGACTGACTCCCTACCCAACACTGTGTCTGGGGAGACCCAGAGATCCAGAGTGAAGCGCTGCTTAGGCCGGCCGCATTATGCAGTTTATACAATTAATGCAGCGACAGGAATGGCAGGGGTCTACAGGAGCAATCGTGGGCTGTTGTGTGTGTGTGTGTGTGCGTTAGCACTGTGTGTGTGTGTGTCTCTTGTGCCTGGCCGTTGTAGCTTGCACAATATAGCAGTGCAGCTGGCACGTGCTACACACACAGTCTGCAGAGGTCTTTTAATTAAGGGATTTGTTAATTTTCTATTCAACTTGACAGTGATGAATGGGGGTGTGCTGCCTGCCCATCTCTGCCTCGGCTGTTCGGCAGACAGAGCTGCCTAGGAGGCCTCTGGGTGCGATCATCACACTCTGAAACCACTTTTACACATGAAGATTGTTAACCCTTTGGTGGCCAGTGTCCCAGTGTCCCTGCATTTAATGAAGCTGAAAACCCCTGCTAGAGGTGGCTCCCACTCTGCAGCAGCCTGTGTGGAGGCCAGATAGGGCTGAGAAGTAAACAGAGTCAAACAATGGCCATGCATTGTGTGAACAAAGATTTGCTGCTGCTATTTAGCTACAATGGAAATAACACTTAGAGTCTATTGTTATCTTGGCTATTTACCAGCTTAAGCTTATCATGCACTCTTTAAGTGCCTCTGTGAAACATCAGCTAAATGCCTAAAATGTAAATCACAGGTTTCGTTCCTTTGTTTCAGCTTGGGGGGAAAAAGATCTTCATAAATACCAACCCTGTCTCTCTCTCTCTACAGATTACATTCAGATGCTACGCGTCGCAACAGCACATTCAAATGTGAGAAACATTGTGTTGCCTAAATGATATTTTTTTATGAACATAACTTGGAGAAGTTTTTAGTTTTAGTTTTGAGTGTAGCTACCAAGTAGAAAAATACCTATACCGAACATACTTGCCAAGTTTTCACTGCCAAATTATTTTAAAATAATTATGCAAAAAATAATTATGTTTGGAGTAAAAACCTGCACTTACAATTTAGAAATACAAAGCCATCTGGAGGAAACTCTGTTCATTTGAGCAGTCTGGTTTTTGTTTTTATACACATCTGTAATATAAAGTTCATCTGGTGATGCAGGACTAATGTCACAGAACATATTGCTCCTACTGTTAAAGCTTTAAACTGACTTCCAGGTAGTAATAGAATAGAATTTAAAATGCAGCTGCTGAGGAATAAATCACCTAATTGCTGAGGGCCAAATGCATTTCAGATATGCCCAAAGAATATAAATCTAGAAGGTTATTTACATCTTTAGGGAGCAGTGGGCCAATAATACCACAGTACTGTCAATGTTAGCTGCTGTACACAGGCGAATCCAACTTCAATATGACTTTAAACTCCTCCCAACTTTGGCCTCTTTCAAATTTAATTAAAAACTGTCTTGCTTCCTGGTGACTGATTAATATTTTCTACTGCACTTGTTTCCTTTATTAAATTTGGGCTGATTTATTACTGTACTGTACTACAGTGAAACCATACTCCCTCTCTATTATTATATATCTAGCTTATATTTGATTCTTCTTAAACATTTTTGTATTTATTGTGTTTTAATTGCACTTTGCCTTATGTAGAGCATTTTTCTATTGCCCTTTGTGTTTAAAAGGTGCCTTGGCTCCTATTCTCATACCAGAAATCATTCTATGAGATAAGTTGCTGCCATTTTTCAAGAGATTGAACTCTTCAGATGTAAAATGGAATGTGTTTCATATTCATTATCTGCTTTGCTGCTGCTAAACATGTTTTGTATTAAAGGTGATATAAGCACCTTAAAGCAGAATCACATGTCATATTGTCCCCCATGCAATGTATTCATTGTGATGTGGCAGCCATTCATCTTTTAAATGCTCTCTCATGATTTCCTTTGTGCATGCAGCGGTGGAGGTGACCTTGAAAATGAACCATGTGGTGTATTTTGATGATAATTTATTCTAACATACAAGAAAACTGCTCACTAACATGATTTCCTTCATGCTTTGTGCTGCCTCCACTTGCTGGAAACTTCTAGGGCAGCAGCCAATGTACAGTCTTCTAAAATAATCTATTTCAGGATTTTTAGGGCCGTGCACCTTTTGAACATCTTGTAGATTTTACTAAAATTTAAATTCAGTTTTATTCCTTTTTTGACACAAAACATATCTCTCCAACTTCAAGAATGTGTATTGATTTGCTATGTACATAAAAGTCTAGAGACCCTAATAAAAACATGTTGATAAAGGTTTGAAAACAACAGAAAGGTACAGAATCAGGAAGATAAAACTATGGCTTCAGTTTTTATAGAAATGCCACTATTAGACTGAATCGCAGGATCATTTTCAGAGACTCACTCCGGGTTTGTAATAGACTAATATTGATTTATCTCACCGATGAACCCCCCCACAGTGGCAGCAAACTGGATCTTAGCTCCAATTTTAAAACATAAGACAACCAAATGACTTTTGTTTCAACTTTGACTGTCCTTAATATTTTACTCGACAGTGTTACAAAAATAGTAACACAGTCATTGTCCTGGTAGTAAGGTCAGTTATCAAGCTCTTTTTTGTGAGCCTGTCTTATTGGGCTTTGACTGACACACACACACACACACACACACACTCATGCGGCACACTCCGGTTTAATGCATATTAATGAAGTTAAACGGCCCGCTGTAGAGAGGAGACAATGGAGCAGAGGAGGGCTGGTTGTGAGCACAAAGCCGTGGACTCAGGGGAAGCGGAACAGGTGCAGGGAGGACATGGCTGCTCCATGTGGGACGACTCACTATAGGTTCATCAGTGTTAGAGGGGCTTCAGTAATCTGGCTTGTTTCATTTACATGTCCATTTCCTGGATGGTAGCTGTTGGTGTATTGCTACACTGCGTGTCCTAAAGATCTTATGCCAAACACAGCAGCCTGTACACGACCATCTACTTGAGTTTTTTGTTGATGAACTTCAGTTGCTGTAGGTGGCACTCTTTTCTATGTCCATTCATTCATGGATAGAGTTGGTCATTCTAACTACCTAAACCATTTATATAAAGCTGTGTGTGATTAGTAACACTTAAGGTGTAAGGATGCATTTATCTCAAAGAACAGGGTCACATATTTTAAAGTCAGAAGCTTCTATGTACAGTGAGGCAGTTTTTGGTTGCTTTAATCATTTCATCTCTCTGGCTATGAAGAATAATCCCTAATCCTATTCCAGTGTAAGATGTGACAGGCCTCATAAAGTATTTTTAAGGCTTGAAAATGTAAACAAATCCTTTATGACTCTTCATAATATAAGACCCTTCAGCATCCAGGGTGTGGATCATTTACTTTCTCATATTGCTCTATCTGGACGATGTTTATTTTAGCAAATGAAAGGACAGAGAACAAAAACATATTTATGAGTAGCAAAAATATCTCTGGAAGGCACAGCAAAGTGAAGTGCTGCACACACCTAGGTGGATAATTTTATAGTGAACATAAATGATGAAACATGTATTTCTCAGTCCACTGTGATCCTATTGTATTGTTATTATTAAATGATCAAGAGTCCAATGGACTGCGGCTGCAAATTCTGGCCTTCTGTTCCTGCTTTGTCAAGTTATAGTAACAGCTTTACTGGGAAATCTCACAGATTTTACACCTGAAGATCAGTTTATTAGTGGTGGTTACTCATGATAATGTAATCAAGGTTACCGAGCTAAATGATTATCTGGCCATAAAGTGTATATAGGGTCAGATCACATGACAAAAATGTAGAGGTTTGTTTTTGGGACTTTATCCAATGTAGGGACAAAGTCCCGGTTTTGGTAACTGCTGCATTAATTAATTAATTAATTTTGATTAGTTTTGGTAAATATCTGTTCCTTGAAAATCTTCAATCTTTACACAAAATCAGAGGAGTTCCTCTCCATATAAACTACTGCTGCTAGAGACAAACAAAACATCTGGAGCTAAATATCCACTGGGTGTTTAGAAACTATTAAAACAACCCTGACTGAAATGAAACTGAACAGTTGTTTTCTATAAGGTACCTAAAACACTTACAGCTAACCAGTCTCTAATCAGTCCTTCCTCCTATTTAGTTTTTAAAAACTAAGGACAAACCAGCCTAAGAAATCACTATGATGAAGAAAGATACAGCAGTCTGTCTCAGCTCATATAGGATAAATATCTCTCCTGTAACACAAAGACATAAGTAGCTAGAACGACTTTCCCAGCTGACTCCCTGCTCTGCTCTGTGGACCCTCCTCCGGGGCCAGAGAGATAATCAACTTGAACCAAACCACGCCCCCCTGTTTTATTCAGGAGAACTTATCAGCGCCTACATGTTGAGTATTCTGCAGAGGACCCGGCAAGAGAAGAGAGTGTTTCACCTCCGCAGGCTACCCATGCTGACAAACACACCACCCGAAACGGCTATTCACTTCTCTGGACATTAAACTTTGAGTTTTGTAGTCAGGATGGATCTTTTAGACCGCAGTTACCTGGACGCGCGGTCTCCCTATGATTACACCTTTAATTTTTGGAACGACTACCTCGGCCTGTCGACACTAGTCGCCAAAAATAAGATCAACAGCCCGTCCTGTAGCCCCAACTCTATAACCGAGTCTCTTAAAGCGACTCTTGGCTTGGAGGACGATTCCCCGGTTTGCTCCTGCGTAACAGGGCACGGCAGGGACGGCGACGGACACTTGGACTGCTGCTGCAGGGCCCCGGGCTCCCCGCCTATCTCCATTTATGATCTCAAGGAGCGCATCTCGCTTCTCAGGCCGTACGAGCATCTGGCTGGGGATTCGCCGCTGGGAGACAGAGATTCACCCCCCTACAGGGGAAGCTTCACCGGCATCGACCTACTCTCCATGGACCGAAGGCGCAAACAGACTCAGAGGGGTAAGCCCGAGCCGAAGGTGTGCGTCTTCTGTCGGAATAACGGCGCGCCGGAGGAGGTTTATGGCACCCATATTCTGAAGACAGTCGACGGCAGGGTCTTATGCCCCATCCTCCGGGCATACACCTGCCCCCTCTGCAGTGCCAACGGCGACAATGCGCACACCATCAAGTACTGCCCGCTTTCAAAAGATCAGCCGAGCCAGAGAGTGGCAAAGGGAGGCAGAGCGATTGGCAAAAGGCTCAAAATCTTCTAAGCGAGGAAATCAATGAAGTTTGAGTTGCACTGTCTGAGATTACTACAGATGTTGCCCGATTTCATGCACAAGACAAGTCTGGAGAAAGAGATTTTTAAAAAATAAGATTTTTAATGATTTTTTGTACTCACCACTGCTTCGGTTTGTAATGTTCTCGTCTATCTCGTAACTCTATGCGCACATAGTTTACACCCGGACGCTTTGCGCGCAGTATTTTACCCCAGCACTCTAAGAACTTTCCAAAACTGAACCAAAGTACTGTACAGCTCGACCTGTAAATGACCGCCACCATGCTGTAATCTGAAGTTGCTGTGTTTCCGGAGCAGACAGCCAGATGTCAAGCCAACATAAATGAATATGCAGCATTCCTGATATGAATGTTTAGTCCCATAGTTTGTTGGCCGACGGAAGTAAAGAGTCTTCCAGGCCATGCAAGATGCAAGATCTTTATATGGAGCACATTTTCCTGACATAAATGTTTTCTACCAAAGGAATACACTTTAGTATTTAGCCTAAAGGTAATTTCTGTATTGTTTATATGTTGGGTGTCTTATATTCTTCATGTGATTTTATGTGGATAGTATTTTACAGAGCTCAACTGAATGTAAAAACTGTGGGAGGCAGATGTGATACACAGTCTGAAAGTCTCCAATATTTTTCACAAAAATACAAATGTTCAGTTGATTTTTTGTCACGTGGAAGTGTGTTGCAATTCTTGTAAATGTGTTAAAGAGGTGAACGATTTTAACAATGAAAGGCCTGACATTCCAAAGTCTTAATCTGCCAATAGAAATGTTTTATGTACTTATTTTTACCTTGTGTATCACTGGGAAATATATTCACTGTAAATGACTTCTGAATAAACATGTAATTTGCATTTTCTTACTACTACTTTCTACTATATTACTATACTACTTGGACTATAACAGATTTGTATTATTATGGAACAAATCATATATTTCATTATGTTAGATGCAGGTGATACATGATAAAATGCCAGGTTGTTCTTTTGTTGAGATTATTTTGTCACTCAGCACTTTCATGCAACTGTATTTCATCTGAAAATGTCTCTGCAAAAGCCACACTGACATGCAATGCAAACGCGCCACCTAGTGCTCACAACCTTAACTGAGAATATCCCCTGCAGTCTGTTGAAATGGGACTGAGATATAAACACTGTTTGCTGTAAATGACCTACTGTAATGAACTGGGTAAAATGGAGTCAAAACAAAACCTTTCGTGTTTAAAAAAAAGCTGAAGTGTGTTAATATCTTTGTTCTTACTGTGTAATTAAAAGGAACAAAGGCGAGAACAGCCATGCTTATTATCACATCACATATAACAGCACACATGCCATACTTCCAATACAATTATTAAATGATTTAAAACAATAATTACTAACCACTGAAGATTAACCTTCTGATCCACTTATAGTATTAAGACTTTGTTATGTAATAGCATTTCCTGGGATGATAGGCACCTGGATAACTGTGCCCTTGACAGGTATGTTTGTTTTCTACTCCAGCCTGTCTGTTATGAGCTGCATCCATTTCTCTCCTTGTCCTTATTCCAAATCATACAGAGATGTAGAAGACATAATAAATCCGCTGTAGAGTGAGTGTAACTGAATTAATGATATCACAATTTCTCCCAGACAGTAATAACATTGTCACTGAGTGAAGCTACAGTGTGTATTTTATGCTAACACAGGTATGAGCACTGTAATATAATGTGTGGCTGCCCTCCCCTTTTCTCTTTAATCACATAATAAGAACAAGGTTGTTCACACTATTTTCTTCAAACCAGTTTTGCTACCCCTGTGCTGCCCCCTGCATATAGAAAAATATAATTTATTTTGCCTTTGCCCTGAAATGCCCTTGTTCCTCATAATCTTATTTTCTCCCACCGTAGCAACATTTAGGTTCCTGTAGGAATTGGTCAGTATTTTATGAGTACCTAACTCATACAACAAAATTACTCTGTAAATTGTAGCCTAATTATTTTCCCTTGAAGTTGGTTTGTTTTTAACGTACTCCGCCTGACTAGGCCGACTCTGCAGAGACAGAAGAGTGCCGGGGTTTAAACAGTGAGTGCTAGCAGAGCACTAGGATGACAAATACTGATAACCCCTCTAGGAGTAAAACACCAGCCATAAACAGGCTGTCTTACAACTGTCGCCAGTCTGAATGTGTCTGTCTCAAAATATATGTCCTTGAGCAGGAATCGGAAATGCTTCCTAGATAAGAACATGAGCTTGATGCCCTTGTTTTTCAACAAATGCTAAGAATGATTTGCAGACATCCTCTGACTCATCTTTGGTGTTAAACAGCAGGAGTATTTCTCTGCGACAGCAGATACAGATAGCACTTTCTTCCACTGTGGTGTCTCTCACACACACACACACACACAAACACACACACACCGTCAAAGCCAGGACAGCAGTATATTAAATAGATGTGTCTCAAGATACTCTGGGAACAATGACGATATGTACGGCATCACAAATGGGTATACATCTAACAAACAACATCCATAGCAATAAATCTAACAAGAGAAAGGTCAATCAAAAAGAAAAGTGCATAAAGAGGAATCTAAATGTGTCATAAACTGATGTAAAGTTGTAGGCACAATTCTACCACCTCAATCTGTTTAAGTACCTCACAATCTCTATAGCAATTCTCCTACTTTATGTATGATGTTGAGCTCAGAGCTTGAGAAATGCATCTGAGGCTATGACGTGATGAGTACACAGTAAAACCCTCCTCCAGACATGCAGAGAGTAATTGACTATGATGTCATTTTCAGGGCAAATTAAAAGAAAACCTGCTCTACCACATCTTCTCTGTCTGCTGCTGCTGAGGGTGAATCTGAAAACCAATCTCTCCTCTGTCCTCACTGCAGCAGTCTGCTATTGGTCCAGTGGATGCTGACAACACTGATGCTTCTCTTTGGTGGAGGGGGGGTGGCAGCCTCACTTTATAAAGCCTGGGATCTGCAGCATCACTGAGCTGGTGCAGTGCAAACACACTCGCTCACCCTCACCGATGGTGTGCAGAACAAGGGGGACATAAAAAAAACCTTCTGAAACTAAAACATCCATATCCTTTTCTTAAACAAACAAAAAACCCACAATAAAAAATTCATCATGAGCTACAATCCCTACTTCTCCTACCGCCGCCCTGTGGACAGCTACAAAGGCTCCAGAAGCATCACTAAATCCTCCATGTCTTCCTCCCTCTACTCTTCTTCTCGAGCGCCTCCATCTGGGAAGAGGATTGTGAGGTTGGCCTTGTCTTCACTGTCAGATGGGTCTGAGAGGATGGACCTGGCTCAAGCTAGCTCCCTCAACACAGAGCTGTTGGGCCTGCGCTCCCAGGAGAGGGAGCAGCTTGTGGACCTGAATGACCGCTTCGCCACCTACATCGAGAAGGTGAGGCACCTGGAGCTGCAAAACCGAGCCCTGCTGGCTGAACTAGAAGCGCTGAGGAGGCGGCAGAATGACCCGTCCCATCTGCAGGTTCTCTATGAGGGGGAGGCGCGGGGGTTGAGGGCCATGATTGACTCCGAGAACGGTGAGAAGATGCGGATGGAGGCGGAGAGGGAATACCTGCAGGATGTGTATGAGCAGATGAAGGATCGCTATGAGGAGGAGGCGAAGCGGCGTGCAGATGCTGAGGAGGCCCTCCAGAGGGCCAAAGAGGAGGCAAGCAGGGTTACGCTCTCCAACTGTGATGCCGAGGCCACCGTGGTCTCCCTCTGTGATGAGATGATGTTCCTGAAGAAAGTCTTTGCAGAAGAGCAAGCAGAGCTACAGGCCCAGCTGCAGGTGGCTAACATCAGCGTAGACATGGAGGTGTCTAGGCCCGACCTCTCCACTGCCCTGCGAGACATTCGGGCACAGTATGAGCGGCTGGCAAACAAGAACATGCAGGCCGCCGAGGACTGGTACAAGAGCAAGTTTGCGAGCGTGGCAGAGATGGCGAGCAAAAACAACGAGGCTGTGTACGCCATCCGGGAGGAGACCATGGAGTACCGGCGGCTGCTACAGACCCGCTCCTCAGAGATCGAGGCTCTCCGGAACGTCATTGACTCCCTTAACAAGCAGCTGGAGGAGCTGGAGGAGATGCAGGCGAAGGAGGTAGCAAAGTACCAGGTGAATAAGAGAGTTTTGCTACAAGCTGACATGTAAATATATTCTCTACAGCAGCTAGACCTTCCTCATACTGTAGTGCTCATTAAGAAAAGATGGCAGGCTCACAAGCTGTGAAAATCTGCAAGGTTACTGACTGAAAACGTCTGACTGCACACAAACACTACAGACACTAAAAGGCATTGGGGATTTTAAAAAGCTGAACATATTCATTTACCACTTTCACTGATCTCTGATTATTTTATAGCAAATCTATTCAAGGAAAAAATCTTATATCATATTGTCAAGTTATATATCTCCACAACACTTCTTTATATTATTATGTGTAGCATCAGGATCTGTGATATCTGACAATGTATTGCTGTGCTTTTTTTGTATTCATAGATGAGGATAAGTGAGCTGGAGCGAGATATCACCGAGGCCAAGCAGGAGATGGCACGCTACCTGAGAGAGTACCAAGACCTTCTCAATGTAAAGTTGGCCCTCGACATTGAAATAGCTGCATATAGGTGAGACCTCCACACAGTACAGTTGTTGCCTCTGCAATTTAGTTTCTGTTAACCAAACACTTGATCTTGATTTGGACTTTCTAACTTGATTTACACAAATTGTGTTTTCAGACTTCGGTTGTGTACATGTGTAAATAAATGAACAGTAAACTCGAGAAGCATGTTTTGTCTTTCTTTTCAGGAAACTTCTGGAGGGGGAAGAGATTCGCTTGACTTACCCTTGCCTCCCTGTCCAAAACTAAACCTAGATGCCACCAGCCTGGCATAAACCTGAATTCTTCATACCCTTTCTTTCCTGATGTTACCTGAACATCACCCCCCCACTCCCCCACCCCATTCCTTCTGTCATCTTTCCTCCCTTCTTTGCTCCAAAGAAAAAGCTCATCCTTCTCAAGACAGATGCGCCCTTGTGCTAAACAAGAGGTCCACCAGAAGTCCCCCTTCTTCTACACACGTTCTGACACCACACATCAAGAAGACGGCAAAATACTGAGTAGCGGCACTGCATCAATTACATAGCTACTTCGGAGAGCAGCATTGTCTTGGCTGAGTTCCTCTGTCATACACACTAAGGTCCAAGCAGGAGAGTCACTATTTGACTCCTCTGACCCTTCACTGTGCAAACATTTGACCAATTGTTTGTGAAGGAGGACACAAATCTCAATTATCTTTCAAAGCTTGGACTTTATCTGTGTTTGAACTGATGCAAGAAACCTGCAGCATCACTGACCGGGAACTCTACCAATCGATTATGCACTGTCCTGCAGCCCTCGTTCTGTAGTAGTAGTCAGCAAACCAGTAACCTTAAACATTTCTTTTCATTATATTAGAGACGCAGTTTTGTCCTTTAAGTTATTCTTCCTCTGCATTTACATCTACACAATTACTGCAAGCTGTGGTTGCTTTGAAAATCTGAGTTAGTTTGGGCTGTCCTATTTGACTAGTTATTTAAATTTGCAATTTCTATCAAAACTGTCTTTTCTTGCATAACCTTGCAGATGTCTAAATGCTGTGGAAGACTAATTGTTACTGGTTTCTCCTTCCAATCATGCAGTGTGTCTCTCAGGCAATCTGCATTAGGTTTTCTGTTCTGTAAGCTCATTCAAAGCTAAACAATGAAACGAATTAATAACTGCAGGGGCTCCTTCCTGTTTGTCTGCTGATCTTAGATCTAATGGTGCTTTAGGTCTGTGAAACTAGTACAAAGTCTGCACCGTTAGGCTTGGTGTACCTGTAACAGCCAGCAGCAAGCTGAATAAACATATAACTGACCTGCATATTACTTCAAGTTTCGCGTTTCCTTTGGAGACTTTTCAGCATGCTTATAATAAGCTAAATACACTTGCTGCATACAAAACATCCTTTAAATGGCTTAATATGCAAATGAATTATTTGGCTATATACCGTCTCATTTTCGATCCAGCAAATATACAATATAAACAATGTGTAAACAGCTGTTACAATTGAAATCTGTGCATATTTTCAATTTACACAGCCTGGATGCATAAGATCAAATCCAGGATAAGACACAGTCATCAACTGCTGCCTCATTTTAGCTCTGACGTGTAAAAAGCCATAAAAAATACATTTTACAAAACAGGCTGAAACATGTATATTTTTAGACTGATGATCACACAGAGTAATTAATCAGCTGTGTTCTCATGACACCATTGTGAACTTGAGCTTTAATGACAAACCAGGGGAATTTTCAGTACATCATTCATAATAAGTGTAGTTATGAGGCTCTCAATAGCACATTGTCTTCAGCAGCTGAAATAAGAATGCACCTTATGTCACAGATATCTTTGAGTAATACTAATGTGTAACAAAAATATAGAAACCATTAGAATAATGACTTATTCTAAAGGTGGAAGGAAAACTACACAGTATCAGGAAACAGGATGAGATAGATGAGAATACCTACATTTTTAATGACTGCTTTTTAAGTTATTTCAGTTTAAGGGTTGGCATATTTTTTACCCTCTAAATAATAATAATACTAATAACAGGGAAGCTATTTCTTCATTTAAAACAATTTTTCCTTACTTGTATCTCTTAGTGTCAGAACCAACACAGCAGCAATGCACCAGTTCCTATCGTTCCAAGCCTGCTGGAGCTGTGGTCTGGTGGTAAGCTGCCTCAGCAGGATCATCAGTCACCGGGCTGACGCCAGGCATCTCACGGGTCCCTGAAGAAAACATGGACAAACATCCACAGGTTTCAAAACACATAGGGTGTGCAAAGCAATGATGAGGCCTATGTACCGTTTGTGTTGTTCCACTGTTGTTTGAAGGTTTCTTAAAAAAAAATCAGGAAAAAAAAAAACCGCTATAAGGAGACAAGACTTTTTAGCCTACTATTTACTTAAATGAATGTCCATAAGCCTATTTTTGGCTCCTTTCTACATTCTTTATTTTACTGTTTATTAACAGTACATGTTTTTTAAACATTTTTAGTTCTGTTCTTACCAGGCATTTGATCCTATTTTGTAAAACGCCAGTGTATGGCTACTATAACCAAACAATTAATAAATAGCTTTATGTTTCGGAAATGAACTATTACTATTTAATGTCTAGCTAGCTGACGTTTGCTAGCTGTTTGCCCCTATACTGAGCTTTCACTGTGGAAATAAGGGTTATATTGCAACAACACTGAAGAAAGAAAGTCGCGGACAACAAAAACTCTCATTTTGGAATCTTTGGGGTGCACATACATGCTTTTAAACGCCTTTTCTTCTAACCTGCAGATGGCGATAGTAATTACTTCCTGCGGTCAGAGGACACAAAATGGCCGCCGCCTTATGTTGGTAGCGTTTCTGTCTCAATGTTACGACACGTTTGTTTTAAACTTCAAGTGTTTTGGTTAACTGTTGCATGTAACGACTAACAACAATATTCAGCTGTTACTACCTTTCGACGCCGACATGTTCCAGGTTATCAGCGGGAGAAGCGTCCAGGTGGCCCGGCTCCTTAAACCCAGGAGCGCGGTGTTGGTGGAGGCTGTCCGGGGCAGAAAGTCCCGCACTGACCCTGTAGCCAAGTCCAAACAGGGGCGAATCAAAGTGCCTCCTCCAGTCGATCCGGTGGAGATGGTGGTCCTCAAGGAAAGATACACCGAGTACCAGTTGATCATGAGGGCGCTCCGGTACGTCAAAATCACTGGGTATCCTGCAGGGTATCTGCCGGATGGGGAAAGCTTTTGAAAGCACCGACTTCAGTTTCTTAGGAGGCTAAAGAAGGTTTTTAATGTTTTAATATTTAATAGCCTCTATATGAGACAATGAGCTCCTATGACAAGCAGTGGTGGAAGGAGTACCCAGGATTGTTTATTTAAATTGTTAATTGTTACAACCTTTATTTAACTACAAATATAAATGATCTCGTAACATTTTCAGTGAATGTAACAGTTTTTAATTTAAGTTTAACTTCTTACCTTTCTAGCAATATATGGTGTTAGTAATTTATTGCCGTTTCAGCAAAATAACGTTGGTGTGGTAACTAGACATGTAAATTTTCATGTATTTGGATGAAATTTCACATGCAGACTCTTAGACTATATAAATAAATTTTATTTACACTTAGGTGGCGATCACCAAAATAAATCCCGCAGGAAAAATACGGAAAGTGCGTCGAATGGATGCTGGGATCAAATCAGCTGACGCAGTCTGTGTGCAGACACAGTTATGCTATGTCATATTATTAGATTATAGTTACTGTGTACATCATTTATATGCTGCAGCTGGTTTAACTGAGCTCTGTGACATTCAAATAAAAAATATTAAGTTATTTTATACATAGTGTTTTGGCCCAGGGCCCTCCTACCTGCTCAGTAATCCATACATCCAAGTGAGGTTCGGGTCATTAATTGATTAATTATATTACTAGGAGGTATTGTTATAGCAGCTTGGAAGTGACAAATATATAAATGGCACTAAAATTATATGTAGACTATAATAACTAATTTTAGGCCTTGTTTGTTTTCTCTCATTCTGAAATTTTATAAGGAAGGTTTCATTTTCATGTCTGTTTAGATTCTGATTTAATAGTAAGTTGAGTTGATGAGTGAACTGAGCGGGCTGTGTCCCCTGTGTTTGTCAGTCTGGAGTTTAAGGAGGAGATGCTCAGGAAGAGGTATGATGAGGAGATTGGCTCCATGGCTAAGCAGAGGGCGAAGCAGGAGGCGGAGGAGCATCACGCCCTCATGACCTGGAACAAGCAGGAGAACCTCCGCATGCTCAAAGTCAGGTGAGAACCGATATGGCTGTCAAACATGGATGGATTACTGAACAGGCCCACTGAGCACAGGCCTGGGGGCCCAAAGGGTCGGGTCAGATGAAAAACAGCTATAAAGAGGCACAAACTGATGATAAATATGTTGTTGCTCCATCTGTGAGTCTTAAGTCAAGGCTGAATGCATTTTTTAATCTGCAACATTCTGACTGGTTTTTGTCTTCTATCCACCAGCATGGTTAAAGGATTTTAACACCTTCCTCCCCTCTGTCTTTCAGAATGATAAGGATCCAGAAGGAAAACGAAGAAGCTGAGCACAAGAAGTTAGAAGCTGCTATTGAGCGTGAAAGAGAGCAGCAAGAATTCATCAGAGAAAAAGAGAGAGAAATTATGCAGTTGCAGGTGTGATTTTTCTCAGTCTTATTTGTTTGTTTATCTGTTTATTATTTATCCTTTGTCTTGTTTATTCTGTGCTTTTCTCCCTCCAAACTGAAGCAGAACTGTATGTTTAAACTGTCCATTCGACAAGCTGTTTTTGTAGCATTCAAACCTGTTCTTCTGCATGGGAAATTGAGTTTCTGCATCACATAGTGAAAAGAGCATCCTGGTTATACAGTTGAATGTCAGGCTCCCTTTGACCTCTTACTTTCACCGTCCTGCAGGAGGATGCAAAGAACTTTATCACTTTGGAGAATTTGGATCAACGAATTGAAGAAGCTCTGGACAATCCAAAGAACTACAACTTTGCCATCGACAAAGAAGGGAGAGTTGTTAAGCAAACAGTGCTGCAGTGAAATAACAGACCGGCCTGTGTGCATCTGTCTCCGAAGAAAAACAAAGACTGACGGCCATGTTGTCCAGATGGGAATTGGAGAGTAACCCACCCTCAAAGGGGATGTTCTTCACTGAGAAAGTTGTTGCACCTGTATTTGAAAATCTTTGATCAACAGATACCTTAGACATTCTGCATAATGTGACTTATTGTTGATGCACAGGCATCGTGTCATCTGAAAAGCTTAGTTAGTGAGACCACATTTCCAGATTAACCTGGACACTTGTGTCCTCTCATGGCAACTTAACCACAAAGTCATGCTGCTTGAAAATTTTCTTGTTCCTTTGAATTCTTCCTTATTTGAGTGATGCATTCACCACAACATTCTTTCGATCATAGCCGTTTGGCCTTGATATGTAATGTATGTAAATTTAATGTTTATTGGAGTTTCCAGTAAATTACTCTGAGTCTTTTTTTAGTATTGGATGAAAATGAGATCTTTTTTTGTGCTTATCTATAAAGCTGAGCAAGAACTACTTGGAAACTAGCTAGTAATTTACAGTTTTGTTTGACTATACAGCATCAAACCCGGTTATTTTACAGTTCTATTCAGAAGATGTTCCACAGTGTCCTAGATATATTATCAAACACTTAACATTAAAAATCAAGCTATCAAGCTCCTCTCATGTGGAACCAGCTCCCAGTCTCAGTGCGGGAGGCAGACACCCTCTCTACCTTTAAGATTTGACCTAAGATTTCCTTATAGTTGGCTTAATATAATATTGTTCTTTTCAATATAATACTAGTAGGACAGTGTCGAAGGGTAGTAAGGTACTTAGCATGTTATATGTCTTCCCATATTTCACGGCATTATAATTAATAATGTGGCTGAACAGGGATAAGACCTGAGCCACTTTGGTAACTGCAAGCCAACAGGGGCCCCAGGCCATCCTGTTGTCACTGAGTATATTTAACCGTACCAGTGGTTTCTAGCCAACAGGATGGCCTTCACTTGTGCCCATGTAATGTGTCTATGAAATTATTGGACATGGTTGTCCCATGCTGGAGAGCTTCTCTCCTCTCTCTCTGTGCACTTATATGCCACCATTATGTGCCACTGTGTCTCCTCTCTCCCATAGTGTGGCCTCTCTCTCTCTCCCTGTACCTTTCTGCAGGTAGCCCTGGCTCTACATCTTTATGTTTCTGATGAGCAGTCACCGACCACATCAACCTGACCAGTGTTTGTTTGTTGTGTCTCGTTGCTTTTCTTTCCTTTTCTCTGTCCACTCACCCCGACCAGTTGAGGCATTTTTAAAAATTATTATTGAAAACAGAATATTTTGGTGGTTTTGAGTGTTCTTAAAACATGTGGGGACTTTAGAAAGGCTGGGGCTCTGTTTCCTGGCATTTTATAGAGCAAATGAGTGATCTATTAATGAACAAAATGATCAGTAGAATAGTTCCTTTTTATTTTTCCTTTGGAAAGTTTCAGGAACTTGAAAAACGTTCCAACAAAACAAGGAAAGAAAATTAGTCTTTGTTTGAGCTGGTCACAAGTGGTGGGCACATGCTGTCACAAGTAGACTTGCTACTTTAGATCTTTAGAACGTGACCTAATACAGTCTCTAATCAAAAGGATCTCTTAGATATAATCCTTCCCTTTTTATTTGGTGCAGTGTGTGATTACATCAGCGTACATACAGCAAACCTTTCTATGTCCTGACTCTAAACGACTTAAAATACACAAGGCTAAACTACAGAAACTGGTTCCAAAGCAAACGGACAATAATCCTAACGAGTTAGTGTTGTTCTTGAGCACCTTGATATTGGCAATAAATACATTCACAAGATGTGGTCGCTGTGGAGGCAGGCTCGTTGTGATTTGACCACGTCAGCTAACGAGATTGTTTCTCTTGAGCAACGTGCTCATTTACACTCAGACTTCATTCCACAGTGATTTGGTTTAGAGACATTTGCAAATTTAATGCCCAGTATGAATTTACCATTAAGCCCAAAGCGTTTCTGTTCCTGCCTCAGATGTTGTCTTTTTACTTTTTTAAATGTGTTATCGAACGATAACGCTTCAGGTAGTTCTGAACCTGCTTTGTCCAAGTAAAATAAATCTGGTTATTTAAAAAAAAAAAGAAACCTCATTTAGAACTTGGAACAAAATCAACAGAAGGTGGTACATTTGTCATATGCATACTGTACGAGTGACAATAAAATCTTATTTTGTGATAAAATTACCTCACAGACTGAGAAAAAAAAACTGAATAGCACTTGAATATTCAAGTATAACAACTCAGGCATACAACACATTCACCAGAGGAAAATATTGTCGGCTTCTTCCATGACTACAAATAATCAGAGATAATGTGGGAGAATCCATTTTGGTACCTGAAGACAAAGGATTTGTGTAATGCCTTTTGAACTAGCGAGGAGTGTTTTTATTCATTCACCCCTATTTGGCGCTCATGTTGTTGGTTAAGAAATCTGGTTATTCAGTTGTCCAGGGTATTTCTCAAACTTCCGCTCTGCCTCCTCACTGAACGCATCCCCTGTAAGGATTGAATGAAAGTAATAAAACAGTCAAAACATTAAAATAGAAGCCAGACTTGACCGTCACAGCTGGTAGTTTTTGTCTTTGACTGCTTACCAATGTGGCAGTTATGGAACCAGATTCGATGTCCATCATATTTGCAGTTGCATTTCATGGCATTGTTGGTGAAGTCACTCTCAGCCACTTCATAATTTGGATTGATCACAACCTGAAGAGGTTGGAAACGTGAAACAAACCATTTTCTAACAGGATGGATGATCACAGACAGTGAACAGTGAAATGTGATGAACAACAGCACTTTAAATATTTGGTACTTACCGTTTTCATCAGGTTTTCTTGTGGAAATGAATTAAGTTAACCCTTAATGTTACTGGTGGATCTGTAGTTATTCTATGAAACCATGAGTGAAGCCAAAATATCGTGAATACAGCAGCTGTCACCTTGCATTTTTGCAACCAGATTCTGTGCAGTAGTGACCAGAAGTGGCATGACAGCATCCGGCCACCAATCAAAACTGTCAAATCAACTGAAATACATCTATTTTTATATCATCAAATAACTTAGTGAAAATAAACCTACCTGAAAAAAGACCACTTGTACACATCAGTGTGATAATATCCAAAAACCAAGGAAGTGACCTCTGGGAAAATTGTATCTGATTTGTACTTTGGCTTATGTCTCATTCACTAACAGGAGGAGGCAGGACTTCTGACCTATACTGCAACCGGCCACCAGGGGGCGGTCCAGTTTTGGTGGCTTGACTTCTGGGAGCTGTCAGCCTGTCCATGGTCCAAATGAACCAAACAGCCTACAACGTCTGTGTTGATGCTGACCAACTGTGTGACTTAACCAGTCAGTGCTCACTTACAAAATCAGAGACAAACTCTAAATGGTGGTTTTCTTTCTTTTTTTTGTTTTATTTTAATAACTGTATTTAGCGAAGTGTGCCTGGTCAGACTCTGAAGCTGGTACTTGACAGTACTTGCTCTGTGTTCTGCAATTTGCCACACATACTCACTTGCATAATGTAGTTTCCAGGTCTGACGTCTGTGATGTCAATCCACTGGCAGTCGATATCATGGCGGTACAAATCCCAGCAGCCTACAGTGATGCCCTGATCACCGAAGTTGGCGCACTCATACCTCTTAGAAACACCTGAGTGCCACAGATGATAAGATGGATTTAGTACAAGGCTTTGATAAGGACCAGCTATGGTCGGTTATAGAAGCCTAGTGTGGACTTATCTTTATTATTTTGATCACATTGACCTGCATCTAGAATTTGGTGTCTCTCCTGTCATGTCTTGTGAATGTCACATGGCAGAATCCATCCTTGTTTCTTCAAACAAGTTAAAATAGTCAATGTGGTTCACCTCTTATCTGAAGCATCAGACTCACCCTCTTGACAATCTGTGTCCTCCAGGCAGAAACTGGCTTTGTGCCCCTCTGCTACTTTGGAACCGTTTGCGCTCAGTAGATCATAGTGGGTGAAAATATCCATGCTGTGGTAGTGGCTACATAACACAGGGACAATGTTGCTGTTAAGGACAAAAACCTTGCCAAGAATGAGAAAATCCTCCATTTCATAGTGACTGTGAAGCGATACACAAAATACAGAGAAAGAAAGCACTAGTCAAGTCATACCTAAGCTGTGAGACTACTGGTATGAATACTGGGAAAAGATTTCAATGGATATAAAATGTGAGCACTTAACCGTGGCCAGGTTTCTGCTGCAGGCATCTGAATGTCATACACACTTTCATGCCAGAGAGGCAGTTGTATAAACAAGTGTGCTACTTTCAGAATGAAGCAGTTCATTTAAACAGCCTTCTCTTCCAGAGACAATGTTAAACTATGAGGACAACATTACCCATGGCAGGCGTGCCAGACCCATGAGTGTCGCCCAGCCTTTGGCTTGAAGTCGGCGCGGCCAATATTGTGGATCTGGGAGGAAAAGCGGAGCAGGCGTCGGTGTCCGTACGGCCAGTTGGCCTTAGCCGCAGATTTTGACAGGCAGTCCTCCTCAGCAGCGCAGTAGAGCATGTGTAGAGGACGATCCTCGATATAAACTGTCTGCTCGACCAAAGAGGCGTTCAGGACGAGGTCAGAAGCCGCTGGACACAGAAGCAGAATTAGGATAAGGACTGACATATAATCTGTTCCTCCTATAATAGATCAGGATTGCTCACTTGTCCTTTGAGAATTGCTGAAGAAGCTTTTTTATTGTAACACTGTAACATGTACAACGAAATTTTGTTTGGAGCCGAGGGCCCCGGCATGCATACGCGGCGCCATCACGGGCAACTTGGGGGGGTTTAGTGTCTTGCCCAAGGGCACTTTGACATGTGGACTGCAGGCACCGAGATTCGAACCTTCAACCTTCCACACCATCAAGATTCACAAACTGAAGTACCAGCTGAGATCAAACCTCGAACCAAGTGATGATGTCAAATGATGCCAAAATATCATAACATATATACTGTAGATCAAAAATGTCATAAAAACCAGCCAGTACCACATAATTTCCATATTTATTAATTTTTTCTCATATTTTTACTCTACAATAATTTGCTATACTGATGGGTTTTATAATATTTTGGAAGATTTAGCTGAAGTGAAACAGAATTTATTTACAGCCTCATTATTTCTGCTCCCTTTTGCGATGTGACTTAGGAGCAATCAAGCTGTGGTTGCCAAAATTCTGGTTGTTGTTTCTGTGAACTTACTCTCTGAGCAGATGACCCCTGCTGCAAACCTCGCCGCTGCTCTCTGGCAGCTGACGGTTTTGTGATGTTGGCACTGACTCAGTGCCATCTCATTTCCCGTGCACTTCATACCGCTCATCACCATCTCCGTCACATTACTGCTGTCCCAGTACCAGGTTTCCTTAGATTGGGTTAGGCAACAGGAAGCAGACAAACAAACAGTGTCTCCATCAGAAAACTGCGACTCATTTTTGGGTGCTCACTGAGGACACAGTGCTGAGTTTATGATCACTGGAAGACAAGTTAAGATACTGAGTGATTCAATAATCATCCCACTTCTGAAAGACCTCTCAATTCCAGGCCACTATAAACACAACCACAGACTTATTAAACAACAAGCCAACTTATTTTTACACACAGTACAGCATTTTGTATCATGCCAGCACATTGCAATTTTTGCAGTCTATTATAATTCTTTTTAAACATGTAAAACATTATTTAACCTACAATATTCATGAATGATATTTATATTTATTAAAAAATGCTGCATACTGTATACTCAAGTAAAGGTCTACCTCATAAAGCTTTGATAGTCATAGTAAAAAAAAAAAACATCATTATACCCTCAAACATCATCAATATTTTCACCAAAAAAATGTAATTGTGTACATTTTCATGATATTACTCACCATAATTCACAACTGAGTGTCAAAACGATGGGATAAAAATGTGGGTGCATTACCAAGATCAGATCATGTGTCTTTAATTATGCTAAAATATTTCTTTTTATATTGAACTGCATAGAAATAAAGCTATGAGTCATGTAGATTTATTTTGAAATGTTTGTTTCATACCATCACTGTGGTGTGTGTGAGGCTCACAACTTTCATTTTAATTGTCCGTGTTATTCAAAGCAGGCTTATAGTGCTATAAAACATTTTGATGGGCAGTGCATCTCTCTTTGCTCAGTCTCTTTGATTAGTATCATTTAGTCACACAGTGTAATTAGATTATTCAAAACTAGCCTTGAAATTGCATCTGTTTCTAATGTTTACTTTTTTTGTGTCCACCACCCAATACCAAATATTTTGTTTGTAATATGTAATGGTTACTGATGACCCACTTAAAACTAGATAAGGCATCTCCAGAGGTTAAACAGCAAGTTGATCTCACTTTTGGGTTTTCAGACCTACTTACATTGATGGCGTGCATGGAGTAGCCGAGCCCTAGCTGCCTGCAAACCACCATGGCTTCCTTTGTGGTCCAGCCTGTGCTGCACACTGTGCCCCACCTGGACCCAACCTGAACCTCCACTCGGCCCTCATAATTGCTTCGGCCGCCCACTAGCCGGATCTGCAGAAATGTCCTGCTGGAAGTCAGTGAGGGGACACACTTCCTGTCCTGTCTCTGGGCTGTCTGGGCTACAACTACTGGTGTTCATATAGACCTGAGGCATGTGCGGTTGGAAGCAGCAGTCTTGTTAGACTTTTCCAAGCTTGGAAAACAATATTGTGGTTTCCAGATGAGGTCACCGCTTGGCTTTGGCAGTGAGTGGCTTTTGAGCTTCATTCTAAACTGAAGCATTAGAAACCTTCAGTTTCTCAACTGAAGCTCTGATTAGATTGTTTGTCTGCCCACATGGAACAATCCAGAACAGTATCTGGTTCCTCCACGCAGGAAAAGAAACCTCTACTCCATAAGGAAATTATAATATACTGTCTTACATTAATGCACACCTGCATGTTCAAGTATTTTCCAATACATACACCAAAGATTTAGCACCAAGATTTATGTTTAAGGAATAATGCATATTTGAATGTTTTACAAATACTGGCACCAGGTAAATATTAGTAAAAATTTGTAAATTGTGCACATATTAACAAATATGTGACTAATGACTGAAAAATGGAATATATTTGAACATATATGTGCAGAAATTGAGAAACTAACTGTACACTTAGTGGCCACATTAGAAGATACACCTTCCTATTTGCACATAGAGCTTACTCTCCTGTCTGACACATCATCTAGACACATGATTACAAAACAGCCAACACACTCATGATGTTGCTGCCAAAGAGGCCAAAGATCCAGTATCCCAGAAAGAAACATCCACATGGAACTTTGAGGTTATTTCATTGTCTGGAGTTTCCTAAGCTACAGTCCAGCAGTAAAGCAGCAGAGATCTGTGGTTTCTACTCATACCTGCCTAGAACCTACCTGGTTCAAACATTATAGGCTTATTTAATTCAATAAATAATAAGTCACAGTTATCTGGTTATATAAAATCAAATCAAATGACAGTGACTTTGTCTCATTCTTTCGACATCAACTCAACAGAACACCTCTTGAATGACTGGCTGAACTGCTCATAACTGATGCCCAAACTAAGGCCATAACCTACAGTATGATGAGGGCTCACAAACAGACATGGCTTATTTTTAAATGACTGAGAACATCTGTCAGAAAACAAGGAATTATAATCCATGGTTCATTTCTGATAAGAAGGTAAGATTTTATGGAGTCAAAAAAATAACAGTAATAAATCGAAATCTTTTTGACAGTGTATAAAACTAATTGGCCACTGAGTGTTCATGACAGTATATTATATTTGCATATATTAAATATCCCAAAAGACAACCTGCAGAACGTTGTCCTCTGTGGTGTTAGTAACCTACTTGCAGGCCCTGGTTAGCGTAGCCCAAGCCCAGCTGCCTGCAGGCCACCATGGCCTCCTTGGTGCTCCAGTTCTCTCCACAGATTAGACCCCATCTCTGCGTCCCGTTAGAGTCTGAGCTCAGTACCTCCACCCGGCCCTCATAGCGGGTCCGTCCTCCTGTGAGTTGAATCTGTATGAGGCCGAGGGATTAGGAACCACAAAGCAGAGTGTAGATACACAAGGGCTGGGCTAGATAAAAACTATTTTCTGTGGGCTTTAGTAAAGGTAAAAAAGCTTAAAGTTCATTTGGGTCACAACATGAAAAAGCTTTTAAAACCAATTACTGATGATACGATTTAAGTTACTGTTGGTTTAAACAACTGTAGCTTGACTGATTTGGTGAAATTGTACATTTGCTGGAGTTTTTATCCCACTAACACCGGCCTCTGTGCATCTACAGGGCACATGGAAGAGTATGATCTGGTCAAATACAAACTGTACAACCAGAAATACTCTGTGTTACAGGAAAATCGCTGTTGTCACAAAAAATGTGCAGAACCACTGTTTTTCAGTACAAGCAAATAGGAAACTTCAGACAATGGAAAAGCCAAAATGACTTTTTTGTGACAGCTGTGAAGAAGCGTTAGTTCAGAGCAGAAATGTGAGATTTCAGTTTGTTCCTATTCAACACTTTTAAAAGCAAAAAGAAATTTGATGCAGGTAAATTATTTAGCACAATTTTCACAATTAATTTGCATGTCATATACCGGTCGACAACATAAATAGTATAATAATAGTATGAAGAGCTCAGTGAACTTTCTAATGTGAAACATTTTAGGAGGAGGTTCAGGTCTGACCATGTTCTCGAGGCCCATGTAGGGCACGTTGCAGCGGACCGCAGCATCCTCCATGTGTTGACAGTCCTCTGATGTGACATTTTTATAGGGGCAGTTCCAGATGGACTTCTCCTCACCCACACACTTCACCTCATTCATGTATACTGGACCCATCCCTAGACAGGCACAAAGACACAAAGTAATGTACAGGTTAAACAACAAAAGTCTGAAGCTCTGTTTGATTGTAAGTCAAACATCATCAAGCAACTCAAGGTGATTTTCTCTTCAATCCACTCTGTCTTGAATCAAGTCTGGTTTCATTACATTCATCAGTGTTTTTCTTCCTAAAGGTCAGCAATAGTGATTAGTTTTATTTGTGGATATTTTTAGTTTTAGGCTAAAACAATTAGTCAAATAACTGAGTAGTTAACAGAAACTTAATCTTTGTCAGTTATACTAACTGACTATATTAATTCTGCTCCTCAAAATGTGAGGATTTGCTGCTTTTCTCAGTTTTATGAGTTACATGTTGACATGTCAGATTAAACATGTAATTTGAAACGTCTTCGACCTAGAAACCTAGTCCAGTTGATTTTTTCAACTTGGGTTGAATATTCCAGCGTTTTTTGGCCTTCTTTCAAACAGAGGGTTGACTGCTTTCTTTTTACTTTTTCGCCAACATTCTGCCTGAAGCCGACTAAAAAGGCTGACTGCCTTCAACCACAGATATTAAATACCTTGTCACAGACTCATTAGATGAAAGTTTTAGGACAAGTTTGATAGATACATTTAAATGTGGTCCTTAATACAGACTGGTTTGTATGGCTTCACTTAGGCTTGGGCTGACACAAACTGATATTTTTTATCAGTGTATGATTATCTTACAATTACAGGGTGTTATTCCTAACCTTGCCCCATACGGGCTCCGGTGAGAGCCTCTTTGGCGCTGCCAAAACCGAGCTCCCTGCAGACAACGCTGGCTGACTGCAGGTCCCAGCGGTCATCGCACACTGTTCCCCACTTGTTATCTTTCAGCACCTCCACCCGACCTTCACCAAGCCTGGCACCTCCCTTCAGCCTGACGTTGCTCTAGATGGTGAACAGACAAAAAAAAAAAAAAAAAAAACAGCTGTGATGGGGTGTTAGGGGTGGATAGCATGAGTAGCTGTGAAGTGATATTGTCAAATATGAATCTAACAAAATTTACTGGCCGAGGGGGAATCATATGAATCAGCTAATAGCAAACACATGAAATAGCCTGTAGACTTCTGGTTGCTGTTCATTGTCAGCATCAGAAAATACCCTCCAACTGGCCTTTTCCACAGCCCTTTTTGGCATGTCACATCAAAAAAAGAACAGGAAGAAGAGGTATAAGTAATAAAATTAAGGATGCTGGCTGTCACTTTGTCATGATTTATTGGGACATCTGAATAAAACATTAATGTAACACCTGTGCTTTTCCTACTATGAAAAGTGAAAATACATGCTGTAAAAAAGGCTTTTCAAACTGCCCTTAAGATAAAGACTCCCTTACCGAAGTTTTAAGTTTCTTTTTCAAGCCACTGTTTTGCATAAACTGCGGTCCTGGCATGCAGCTGACGACGACCGGCATTCCACCCTCACAGGACGATGTGGTGTTTGGCTTGCTGAACTCCAGGGGGCAGGCTGCCAGGTGGACCTCCGTACCCGTACATGCCACAGAGTGGATGTGGAAGTATTTCTTCTGACGCTCCAAATACAACCTGGAAGGAGCGGACACAGGGGCAATGCCTGTGGTAAGTGAAATACTAAATGAATTAATGAATGAGTTGTGTTTATATTACATGGTGAAAATTCAAGGTTTGACAGTGTGCATGTAAATAAATGAATTACTACCTTAGTTGTATTTACAATGACAAAGATCGGACAAAGTGCTGAGAGTTAAAGCATTCAAATATTTTTTTTTATACACTGAACACCCAGTGACTGAATGAATAATTGAAAACAAGGTTACACAATCCTCCTGATTGTGACGGATTGTTTTAGGTCATTACTACACACACACACATCAACTCTTATTCTAGTAAAAATAATAACATTCAGGGTCTCACAAGTTCTCAGGGATAATGTTGTAAGTTATATAAACATGTTGGACAAAAAGAAAAATTCACAGTTGCTTGAGGCCTGAGCTTCATCTTGCAGGACAAGCCTAATGTTTGTCCCTGTTTACAATCTATCTGTTAAGCGAAGCTAATGAGCTGGCTCCAACTCCATTTAAAGTACAGACATAAGAGTGGTATTAATCTTCTTATCTAATGTTTGACAAGACAGACAATAAGCTAATATCCCCATACTGAAAGCAATTCCTTTTACTTTTCTACAGCAAAATTTGCATAGTTCATCCATATACATGTGGTATTGTAAGGACTGTTCTGAACATCAATTACTTTAGTACCGTAGCAAAATATTAGCTCAAGGCTTTTGCTTTGAAAATCATGGATGTTCTTTCAAATGAGCCACATGTGCAGGACAGGTGCTCATTATACTAGAGGGGATGGATGTAGATTAGAGAATTAGTTTTTTTTTATCACTTGTCAGTTGTTTGTGAGGTTTGTGGAAGGAGCTTGTGTGTAGGTCTTTGCAGACAGCTTGGGTTTACCCACTGTTTATCCTTAGATTACCTTTTGCCAGGGCTGCTCTGTTTAGACTTAGAGTTAGCTTTAGCTTTGGATGTTTGCCTGCAAAGTAAACATGGGTTAGACTGCACAGTTAGGAAAAGAAAATGAGATGACAAAGTGAAAAGTCAGAGTAAACAAGGTTATCTGATGCACAGTTATGTTAAAAATTATAGTTACACTGTTTAAAAGTGATGTGTCACATTCAACATTGTTGTTAATTGCAGTTGTAATTCCCAGTGTACTTGTATAAATTGTATAAAATCACACAAGACCCACAATTGTTCAAAGTGACACATCCTTCTTAAATGCAGGTTAAAAAAAAAACTAATATGACATAAAATTACATAATGTAAAACACAGAGACATTCGATAGTTGTTTTGACAAATTTCATCAGCACAGGCTGACACATACAGCATGGCCAAAAGTATGTGGACACACACTTTACTGTTTTTAATAGTTTAGGTCCAGCACCTTAGTCTCCGGTTACTGTTCTGGTGTCCAGGTACCTTTGGCCATATGGTGTATGATTATTAGCATATTTGTTAGTACAAACTATATTATTGTGACTGTAGTTTTTCTATTGTGCCAATGTGAATCTTTAAGTAACCACATTGTTTTTGTCAGATTTATGGCATTGCTTTTTGCATTGATGAGCTATAGAGGTAGATGCTTAATTAATTATGTAACATTGTATAAGATCATAATTAAAACATAATACATTGGAAAATACATCAATGTTGGTTGTTGTTTTTTTTACTTTGTCACTACAAGGCCAAAATAAGTTTTAGCTTCTCATCATGTAATAACACCTTGCATGTTTTGCTACTCTAGTCCATACCTGACTCAGTTACAATTTGAGTTCCTCCCACAGTCCAAAGACATGCATACTCACTATCCAATGTGGCAAACTCCACCCACCTGGCACACTAAACTGGCTAAAACAAATGCTGTGACATATTAGCAGATTCTACCCGATGCAGGCAGGTTCTTGTCAAGACTAAGGCCTGTGACTGGTTCAGCTGGAGAACCCAAAATGAAACGTTACTGAACTTCTCCAAAAAGCATGCCATAATGAGGAGTGAGATTTCCTGCTATAGCTGCTGCATTAGATTAAAAGGACTGATGTGTGGAAAAATTAAGCCTTGGGTACTGACAGAGCACATTGCTGAAGACATCTGTCCAGTAAATACAAAAGTTAAAAATTTTATAAAAAATAATGCCCTTGATCAGGTGTCAGTCAGAACAACCTGTGCGCTGGTCAGTAGACGCAAGAGAAAGAAAGACAAACAGAAGGAAAACCGACCCTAAACACAAGACAACCTCGAGTTATAGCAGGATAAAACATGTCTGCACATTCACATGCTGCACATCATAATAATATGATATTAGAGAGCAGGTAAGGTCAGCTAGCTAGAAACAGGAACTAAATGGTTATTGTATCTACTCCTACAGGAAACCCACTGTCAAAACTACAGTAAACAGAGAGCAGACGGTGGGTTTTCTGTCACTGTGTACCTTCTACCGGCTGAAACATTAATCTTTGGCCTGGAGACCTTCTCGGCTGCTCGCTTTTTCAGATGTCTGCAACAGTGAAACAGCCAAATTCCATCACATACAAGACAGAGACTACATGCAAACACACACTTAAACAAGCTGCATACACACACTCACAGTCTAAGGGCTGCACACACACATTTCTTTAAGTTACTGGAAGGTCAGTGGTGAATAACATTTTTGACATTCAACAAGTATATTATGATACAGACTGTATGTCGCCCCTGTATAATCACAAATACAGAGCTATTCCAGCTCTTCAGAATTCAGCCCTGTGGTAGCCAGTCAGTATAGCAGCTCATCAGTACAGTTCAGTGCCTAGCTGTTATTGAAAAAAGGTTCTGCCTGAAGTAACAGCTAATAACAAACAATTTCATCAGTGGAAGGTTTAAGTGTCCTGTGATAGTTTTAAATGTTGTTCCACCCTGACAAGCGTACAAGTTTCTTTAATGGACAATTTTGAGGTCAATGATTATTGTCACAAAATCAGCACTGGGCAAATAAAGTGTCACTATGTGCCTGTTAGTGTGTCTCTGCCCTCAGAACACTTTTATAACCATTATAACTTTTATCTACTGTTTCCAGTAGATAAGTTTTAAACAGTGAGGTTAAAAACTAAACCTGAATCAAGTGTAAGACACTTGTGAAAGGCTGATTGTCCATGTTTAGTCTAGTGCTTCTTACATTCATAACCTACTGTATAACTGAAATAGCTAGACAAGAACAAGGGACTGACAGCACAGAACGATTCAACTGTTGCTGTGCAGTGTACACATTGGCTCCACTTTAGCTGTTGTTGTCTGTGCATTATGTGACCAACCAGCACCACTTCCCCTGAGCCCCAGCTGTCACATGCTTGAAAGAAAACATATGTACTTCTGTGAACCTTCTGCAGTGGATGAATAAACAGCTTTTGCCTGGAGCTCAGCCAGACATGTGGACTGTCACACTGGAAACTGGAAAGAAAGTGGAGGTCTGAGAGTCCAAAGAAGTAACTGTGCTCTCATACCACAGCCTGTTCAAACTAGATTCCACTTTTTAATCTGTAAACTGTCGGTAGGTCTTAAGTGTTGTAACTGGACCGCTGACCATTGATTGTGTTCCCTTACCCAATACAGTTAAGTTATTTTTACCCCCAGTGTGTGTATGTGGATTTATAACCACAGTGAATGAACACAATGGATGTTGACATAAAATGTACATTATGGTTTTAATTGCCACTGCAACTACTTCTAGTGCTTTAACATTTTGCATTTAGTTCTGAAACAATGTCAATTATCGATTATATGATTTCCAGGAAAATACTACTATTTTGAAAATTAATATTTGCCCCAGCTTCTAAATTCAGAGAATTTGCTTCTTTTTTAATATTATTGTAATCTGAATAACTTTGGGTTTTGGGCTGCTGCTCAGACAACAGACATTGAGAAATGTCACCTTGGCCTTTAGTAAAATATGATGGGTATTTTTTTTTTACTATTTTCATGATTAACTGATTCATCAAAAAAGGCAGATTAAAAATGTTTTGGTCAGGTATGTGGTATTCTTCCACAGGAAGTAATTAATCACAATGTAGTGACATCCAAGCTGCTTCCTAAATGCCTGCCCATTGCTCTCTTCTGTTATACACCACTGCAGACTGGCTGATTTGATAATCATGAGCATGACATTCTCTGAAGTGAACTTGTATGACTTCTCAGTCCTGAAGTTCAGTCTTTGCCATCTGTGTAAAAAGCTGTCCGCTGCAGCTTAGATCCATGAGCCCACACCAGAGGCAGGTTTTAAGGGTAGATGTCAAGCAATTCACTTACTTGTAGAAGCTCTTGATGACTTTCCTCTCGTGTGGGAATCCCAGCATACCACATACGACATGAGTGTTTTTGACGGTCCATCCCAGGTCACAGATCTGAGCCCAGCCATCTTTATACTTCACCTCCAACACACCCTCTGTGATGGGCAGCTTCTTTTTGGCCGCAGCGACCACAGGCCGGAGTCGCACCTCCTCTATTTTGTTCTCATCCACGTGGGCCTGGTCAAAGAATAAAATCGAACGCCTGTAATTGTTCATGAATGAAATAATTAGTGATTATCAGTAAATATGTTAAGTAAAGGTGTTTTCAGTGGGCAGTTTAGGTTTATTGGATGAAAATTCAACTAGCTAAACAACACAGCTAAATAACAAAGCAGGTTTTTAAAGCTAATTTGTAATTCAATTTATCACCTTTACATAAATCTATATATCTTATAAATCTTTCCTATTCCCCTTGAATCATCTTTATATACAGTAAGTTCATTATACACACGATTTGAAGTAATTATTTTCCTTATATTGACACATCCATGCATACTGATGTACTCACACATACAACTCTTAAAGAGAGTTTGAATGAGAGGGACAGACTACAGTTAAGTCATACCTATTATCGAGTGTAATTTTAGGTCAAATGCTCTCACTAACAGCTCATAAATGGTAAATGTGACATTCCCTGATTGCCAGTTTTGCAGTGACTCACTTCCACTGTGGTTTACTTGGATAAATAACCGACTGGCCGCAGACTGAAGTCTGGACTGTACATTTGTTGGAGCCTGACTTGCAGTAACAGGCTAAAATGGGGGAGAGTATAGTAGTTATCCATCCGAAAGGTCGCCCTCTTACTTTTATAATAATAATAATAATTAACCTTTTGAGGTGTTCACTGTTTCACATTAGGTGAATATACTGTAAGGTCATACATGCTGTATTTTACAGATGTGAAATGAGAGTCCAGAGACCAACTCTGCCTCCAAAGCAGAATTTATGGACTTTTAACTACTTCTTTACTTACTTAAAATCCCTATATTGTGCTGACTTACATCAATAACATTTGACTCCACAAAGCCGGGAATCCTCTCGTCTTTGCACACAACTCCAGCGTCCTCATCGTGAGTGCAGTCACTGTTGCCCCACCCGCGAGACTTGCAGAATTCAATGCTCTTTTCACCTCCATTACACAGCACGTTGTCCAGCCAGATTTTCCCTGCAAAGACAGCAAACTAACTGTGTGGCTTCAGCAAACCTCCAGGCCTGTGGAAAGTAACGAGTCGAGGCCTGGGAGTCACACATGGTTGCTTGTCACACTGGTACTCTGGGAACCAAAGGAAGCTCATCCACAGTTGCATTTAGTTTAGAAAAGAGCCTGAATGAGAAGCTCAGCTAAAACCCAAAAATGAGGTTTAAAGTGACTCACCGTAAACACAAGGATTGTCAATTTTTACAATATTCTACCATAAATCTTTTTCAGTTTTGAGCCAACTGGAAGTCAAATCAAATGGTCTTCAAATTTTGTGAAATAAACTTAATTTATTAGTCTTTATTTTTGTAAAGATTTGTATACAGCAGTCCTGATATACGTTGTAACAAGACTAAATGTCTTCTGACACGCAAGGCAGCTCCTTAAAGTTAAGTTAAATGCTAACATCAAATAGCTAACATGCTGATGTTTAGCAGATCTAATATTTACCATATTCAACATGCTAACATGCACAGTACGTACAGCTGAGGGTCAGAATGTAGAACTGGGAAGGTCATAAACCAGAGTAGAAGTTATTACAATTCATTATGAGGAGACCATGGGTCTGGATTTGCAAAACCTATCAAGACATTTCATTAAAAACTAAAAATGTCAAAGTCATGGTGGCAAGGAAATTTTTGGAGGATTCATCCTCTGATCACCAAGAATGTCTTGACAAAATTTTGTGGCAATCCATCCAAGCAACAGTTTTTGAGACATTTCAGCTCAGACCAAAGTAGTGTACTGACCAACACTATCATTCATAGAGTAAAGCTGCTAGTTTTCTAAAAATATTCATAATAATGGACATTGCTCAAGTATTCATTTGCCAGTGAACTAGGTTTAAACTTATACTTATAATATTGATTTAACACATTTCTGTGAATGGGTAATTTATTCAAAAATATTTGAACAAATCGAGTAATTTTGAACGTTATAAATACTGATATGGCAGAGTACACGGTGTATGAAGCCAAAAACGAAATCTCAGGACATGGCTTCATACACTCTTACCTTGGCCTTTGCCATATTTAGCACTGTGGGTCCACCCTGTGGCTGAGACAAAGCCCAGCTGGCGGCAGAGCACGTTGGCATTAGCTATTGAGAAGTCGTCATCACAGATGGTTCCCCACTCTCCCCTGTAGAAAAGCTCTATCCGGCCCTCGTTATGTTTTCGGGGGAATCCAACCAGTCTGACCCTTATCCGCTCTGTCTGGGGCTGGGGGGATGGTGACAGTTTAGGTGTTGCAGTGGCTGCGTTTGATGAGAGGGTCTGGGTCAAACAGCAAGGTAACCACAACCCAAACACAAGGCTGAATGCTAACTGTCGCCTGTTTCTTGGCTGCTCCATTCCTTCAGCTGTTTATAAAGAGAAGGAAAAGAAAAGTGTAAGTGCATATTTTTAAACGAGTGGACTGATTTCTATAAATCCAAAAACAGATTTTGTGAAATGTCATCGTCACGTTGGGATCCAAAGAACAACCAGGCAAGGCTGTTGTGTATAAAATACTGAGTGAATAGCACAGATGTTTGCACACACCATTTGAACTGAGGAGAAAATATCAACAAGAGTGATTCATTTTTTCCACAGCTTCTGGTGAACACCAGGAATTATCTTATGGGCATGGGAAACTATTTGAAGAGTTTTTTTTGATAAGGAAGCCACCACAAGATACCTGTTGAAGTGGATTCTCATCAGCAATGGTGTCTCAAACATGATACACAACATACAAAATATTACAACATTTCTGTCTGAAGTATGTTATAAAAAGCTGTAGATGAAGAGCCAAGATGGCTCACACAGAGGACCTGACACAGTGCTCAGCATATGGAAAGAGGATTGATGTAAGAGCCAAGTCCAGCAGTTTTATTCAAACCACCTAGTCACTGTAGACTGTTGTAGAGAAAGAATTCCAAGGAACATTCAAAAATAAAGATGGATCAATGACACATGATCCATCACAAAGGCTACATGAATGTTTATATTGATGAAATATAGAGCTGCACTTAACAGTATGTTTATCCCATTTTGTAGTTTCTGCCCAGTATTTTTCAATGTCTGTGTTCAGTTTTATTGAGCAGACAGCACATTTTCCTCTGGGTTAACATTCATTCATATTTCTCAATAAGAAAAGCCTTTTTCATACAAAATGTTAACTCTGTTCTCTTAAACCTGCCTGTGCAGTTCTGTAGGTACTGAATGCTAACACAGACCTGCTGTTGATAACTTGACAACTACACTCACTTCTAAACTTTTAGTGAGTGGGGGGGTTGTTCCTCCAGAAACACAAATACAGTAGTGTGTTGTGTTTGTACAGAAACCACAAAGTTAAGGTCTCAGACTGACTGCGACGTCTGACTTCAGTTTCACAGTGTATGGAGGGATACACATGTTCACAGTGAGCTTTAGCCAGCAGGGTTTAGAACACTGTCCCTCCAGAGGATAAAAGCTCTGATCTTTAACTATTTTTACAAGAATGCTCCAACATTTTGCAAAATATATTTGGCCGCTTCCTTAGTGGGAGTTAGATGAAAAGCTCCCCCATAAGCTAGGCTAAGCATATGGCATAGAGCGATCACAGAGAAAGAAACCTGTTGCAGTACAGGCAGTGAGAATGATTCCTACAGTAACAGTAGCAAAAAAGCACAGCCACAAAAAGCAAAAACAAAGCAAAAACAAAGCAAAGTGAATTTCTGTCTATAGACCTTTTAAAACCCTAAGGTTACAAAGTGTTTCACAACAGAATAAATTCAAATAATCACAATAATCAATAAAATACAAGTTAAATTAATGAATAGGTAAGAAACCCACCTCAAAAGACATAAGGTCAGATTCTAAGGTCAAATGCTAGTGAGAAGAGATGAGTTGTTGTTAATGATTGAAAGGTGTTCAGAGCAGGGGAGGATCTGATCTCTAATGGCAGGTTATTCCATAGTTTTCACCCGGCAAATGAATGGGGAGTAAACCCTCAATCATAAAAAGATACAAACGCATGCCCGCTCTGTGGATGAATAAGTACAATCTGGGGAAATGTAGGAAATCACTAAGTGAAGGTTGTAATCAGTCAAACTATGTAGAAAAGAAAGGCCAGAAGTAACACTTTTATCCTGTCTCTTGTAAACACCCATCCCATTAAACAAACCAAACTCCTGCCTGCCCTACTTACTATATTTTTGCATACACACAGTTTTCCTGTACAGGGATTATTACCAACATAACTGGTGTGCTCACTTTTGGTTTGCTTGCCAGGCAAAGTAGTTTAGATAATCTGGCTAAACGTTTCACAACCTGTCTGAGTATGTGACCTCTCCTGTGTCTGTCCCCACTGGATTTCATTGCAGCAAACTGACCATGTTTTCAGCAATTACTTTGCGAAGTGTAACATTACTGCAACTGGGAGAGATGACGGCCTAAACCACACATCCAAGATAAAAGTTGAATTAACTGGAATTAATGTATACTGCATCATATACTCAACATACAGGACTGTTCAAACACTTGGTCACCAAAACGTATTACTGAGACACCGTGTATGCACATTTCCACCACAGCACACACTCTAACACACGTCGCTTGGCCTTTTTGCTACCAGAGGTCAGCAGCTTATGGTTTTGTAGACTAAACAAAACTAGGAGTGAAAGCTCCCTGAAATAAAAAAATAGCATTTTTTCTGCCTGATTTCAGCACATTGTTGGCCTCAAAGGAACTCTTTGAAACTTTATACCTAAACCAGGCAACGCAAGTGTGAGCCACATCACAGGGAGATGGACAGATGATGGAAGACACCGAATTACAGAACACAAAGGGCTGAGATACAGTAGGCTTTACATATAGAAGCAAATATACAGAAGACATTTTTGAGTATGGTCAGTTTGGGTTTTGCTGGGTGTCTGTTTCACCCAATCAAAACAGAGGGATGTAATCTTTCCCAGACTCAACAGACAAATTTAACATTGCAACTTCCTAATAAGTTACATAAAACCCGCTTTTGGGTTGCCATGTTGTCTCTTCAGTTGCTGTTTATCCTCTTTCAGGATGACACTTTATCTTTTCAGCGCTTTAAGTACAGGAATTCCACATCATCTGCCCACCCAACTGCTGGAAAACAGCTGCAGAGCATCTGGAGCAAAATCCATCTACTAAGAATTTACAAACATTTATAACTAATTAGAATATGAAAAGGTCATTAGTAGTGCAATGATGTTAACTTTTATAGCTTAATTATTATCAAAGAGGGATATTTCACAAACTAGCAATCCAAAATTGGTCTTATATTAGAAAGGGGAAACAATTTAACAAATCTTTAGTAGGTGGTTCTTCTCATCCAGACCCTGATCAGAACAAACATTTGGCAGCTTAGATGCCAGTAAATACACTTCAGACTCACTTTCTGAGTCACTATCTGAGTTTCCTGTTGCAGTTCCTCATGTTTTTACTTTGTGCATTGTAAACTGGTCAAAGAAACAGTTTGGTTTACTAGTCTCGATATTATGAGTACATGTTGCTGTAGATGGAGCTTGGTTTGGTTTGAAACAACAATAGCACAATACTGAATCACAGTGAAATCACTTTGTAAAAGGTTTTGCAGTAAAATCTCAGAAGATTAACAAATAATCTGCCTTACCTTATGTTTCCAATATGAGGTTATGGGTCCAGTGGGGCAAGTTGACTCTTCAATCTTGCAGATCCAGAAGCTCACAAACTGAACTTCATAAGACAAAACATTAGTAAATACTCCAGTAGTTCTGCTAATTCATCTGCTCTATCAAACACGGGTCTACTTTGCTGGGCAGCGGTTCACTTAGCAGCCAATTACTACTTCTGCGTTATGGTCTGTAAATTGCCAGCTGTACAGCCCTCACTGAGGAGGAGGAGGAGGAGGAGGAGGAGGCTGGTGGACTGGAGTGGGCTGGATCTTTCCCCCCTGGAAGGACACTAACTCTTTCATGGATGGTTCCGTTACAGGCTGTCCTCTCTTGCATACGGCCAAAAAATGTGGATTTCACACGCAGCCTACGTGCCTGGCGAAGTGCACAACATGACTGCAGAAGATTTACAACCGCTGTTGCAGCAGATTCTGTGACCTGATCAGGAATTTCTGCTGCCGTGCCGCTGTTTTATCTCGATCTGTTTTGGCAGCTGCTGTTCCCAAAACGGTGCCATCATCCAGTTTAGATTAGAGATTTAAAAAAAGATCTCAACTATCGTTTCAGTAAATTGCATTTGCAGATTTCACAAGTTCTGGTTGAACAAAACAATCCATCTGAAGTCATCACTTTTAGGGATTTTTAAAAAATATTTCACATACTTCATGATTAATCGACTGATTAAAACAATGGCTACATTATTGAATGGTGAAAATAGACTAATTAACAACTGTGTCCCTGACTGGGTTAGAAATATTGAGTTATGTATGTATACCAAAATGTGTAGCCCATCATATTCTAAATAGGATCAACAACCTGAAAAGGATCCAACTGACAATTTGTGTTAGAGCGCTACAGATAGTTTGTGCTATCAAAACGTGTATAGTACCTAAACATCCAGGAAAATAATTTTAAATGTATAATCATATCCTTGCATTAATCTGCGATTATAGTAGACATATAACAACATAACCTATACTGCAAACCAAAAACGACCGCCTCAAGAGGCTACATTTTTCCTATAGGAATATGTTAGCCAGCTAGCTAAATAAGAACATTGATACCACCCTCACATTTGTATTGTTAAAATGTAGCTAAAGTTGCCTTAGCTGTCCAGGGGTAACCTCATCCACCTATCAGCACTCCTGAAGCTAGCTATTCCATTTTTCTTTTTTGTTCAAACCCCGTATAGAAATCACAATTTGATATATCCCATGGCCGTCTTCAACCTGATGTCCCATACGTGACGTAACGGTATATAGCAGATTGTTTTTTGGCGGGTCCTGCTGGTTACCTAGCAACTGGTCTCGGCCTCGAAATACCCGAAATACCACGAAATATGCTAAGCTAATTTTAACCAGCTGTTGGCTGTAGCTGTTTAGCATTTAGCCACGATGAGTGTTATCAATGTTCTCATTTTACATTCGGCGAGAAAAAGGGGAACATAGTTCCAGTGATGGAATATACAGTAACTAAGTACGTTTACTTAAGTACAAATATGAGGCACTTATACTGTACTTAGTTATCTTTTCATTTCAATTTACACTCACCGGCCACTTTATTAGGTACACCTGTACTATTGTGTGCACTTCAGTGCAGCACTTATGCTTTAACATCTGTTTATGAAGCTCAAAATGTTTAATTTTTGTTGAAATTGTCTTAAGTGTATAAATTAAATGTTTATAATTGTTTATAGTTAAAGATAGTGTTGTCCTGGACTACATTATATTGAGAAGTGTTACTAATATTAGGTAGGTAGGACTTTATTGATCCTACAATGGGGAAATTCCTGTGTTCTAACACTCATGTATATAGCTGGGAAGGACAAAAATATAGAGACCTCTCTATATAAAGTAGACCAGGACAACACCAGCTTAAACTATGACCTCAATAACAAACATAATTAAATGTATGCATTTATGACAATTTCACCAAAAAATGAAACATTTTGAGCTTCATAAACACAGATGTTAAAGCAGAACTGAATTGCAGACAATTGTACACGTGTACCTAATGAAATGGCTGTTGAGTGTATACTTGTACTCTACTACAACAAAAACCAAAACAATAAAAACATCACAACTAGTCACAAAGACAATGATATGAACAGTTTGTATTGAACAGGAACACTTCAATAAGAAACTTGAAATCAATGTTACAAAAAAGTACAATGTTTTCTTCACAATGTACCCGCAAATAACAGAGAAACCATGACCATTAGAAATCAGTGTTTCCTATAAATCAGATTACTGATTTATTACTGCTTCATAGAAAAAAAAAACATGACAGGTAGTTCATTTAAATGTGGTGTATATACATTTTACAGATATATTATCTACAGTATGACAACTGAAAAACCACTGGATTTTCAACAATTTTGTTAGTCAAATTTCTTCATTAATTGTTTTGATTCTTTATGGTCCCTGTAATCCATCGATGGACTAATTACTGAGCAAACAGGTGCCATTAAAATGGGATGGCTAAGCATCACCTGAAATAACTTCTAAAAACAGACAAATGAGAGACACAATATTCGAACGCTCAAGTTCTGCCCTGCTATAGGCATACAGTATGCCTCCTTAAAAGAGAACCTCGGGAAGACTAATTGACCCAGACACATTAAATTCAAAACATCAATACATACTGAACACGTTAAATATAAACAGAACTAGCTTGGACTTGCAGGTTTTAAAACATCCATTGGAGGAATGCATCAAGTCTCTACATTAATTTTAATATTTTCTTCTTGAATGTAGGTAAAACTCAGTGTTATAATGCCCCAATTATGATGTATTTTCTGTGCACAAAATCTCTGACCTCTCTCTGCAAGTAGAAGGATACAGTGGCTCAACACTACTTCAGCAGGGCAGAGGCGTGTGGTCAGAAATGGACTCATGACTCATGCTTTACCATACTCAATGCAGTGGCATTAACCCCAACACTGATTATCTAGATTTCTTGATAACAACACTGTTGCAGTAAACAAATGGGTACATGAACTGTACAAAAACATATCTCAGTTGGCAAAAGTACTGTAACATTTAAATATTTACTGGGGTAAGAAACAGCCCACAATATACACATATCATAATACTAACAGTTAAACTCTCCATTAAAGCACATAGCTGATGAAACAGTGACTTCTTGTGCATTTTAACAATTGTGGTGTTAATTAAGAAAGACTGATGTGTGGGTTTAAATGTAAATCAATATCCAGTGTGCCATTTGCCATTCACATCCTCGGGTTCAATCCAATTAGTGACAAAGAGTAAGTGCTCACAGTTAATAAAATACTAACATTAGTGATCATTAATGATTCGCAGTGTTTTACCTTACCAAGAGTTATCAGGTGGATGGGAGTACTATTAGGACAATGACACTTTGATCACATTATAATACACTAAAATGACCAGTACAGTCAGTTAGCAAGTATTTTTTACAACTGAACAATGTCAGTTAATATGTTATTCCTATCAATATGCTGAAACATTTATTCAAAAAAAGCTTAAACAAGTAAATTTTAAAAGAAATATGTTAAATTTTTTCTTTCAAATGTTAATATTTCCTGCTTATCTTTGTCTTATGTGACAGTAAATTCAGTATCTTTGAGTTTATATTAATTTTAGAACAAATAATCAAGCAATCAGAAAAATAATATACAATTGATCAACAATGCAAATCATCATTAGCTGTAGCCCCTAAAACTATGTTCATAAACCCATGCTTTTCTAGAGTAAAGTCTTTCCTTTGCTTATCTTTATATCCTGTCACCCATATACTCAATATAATCCTATTAGATGAGTCCATCCCCCATCCATCAGTTATGCAATTATGAAGGGAAAAAACCTAGGAAGTACTTCCAAATATATGGCCCAGGCTCTGATACCCACTGAGGTAAAGTACAGTCCACATGACAAGACTATGACACAACAAGTGTTATTTCAGGCAACTGTGGTGAATTTCCTTGAGAGGTTTAAGATCAAACCTTGGTTCTGCAAAATCCTACACACACTAACTCTGTCACCTTTGCTAAATACAACTTTGGTCAGTGCGGGAAAACTGACTTTCATCCACCGACCACAACAGCAGATGTGTCAGAATTTAGAAGCCACTTGAGTACTTTAGCAAACTAGCTCGATCTCTGAAAGCATAACAGGACTTCCAAATGTTTGACAGTTTGCCTCCCACAGCCAAAATGTACCAGTAATTGGCTAGTGGCTGAGGAAATATCCCACCCTGGAACAGATTTTGAACAGTCTAAAGTGCTAATGGTCTTTGCAGCAGATGACAAGTACTTCTGTGGATATAGCTGGGATGGATTAGGATGTATGCAGAAGGTCTAACAAAGCTCCAACAGCACCAAAGTAACCCTAAAAAGGGTGAAAAGAACTGAGTTAGAAATTATTGAGCCCATCAAAGCACAAAACTACACTTTTGGTCTGTGAGGAGGAATGTGTGCTACAGTTACCTCATGTCGCAGAAAGAGTGCTTTGAGCTGGCCTTTGGACCAATAGTCCATGGCATAGGCCAGCAGCTTCATAGAGAGAGTGTTCACTCTTAGGAAGTTGCCCACAAACACCACTTTCTCAATGTTCTTAATAAAGAGAGATTGGGATGAAAATATTTAGGCATATGCAGAAAAACACTCATTACTACTGTTACTAAATTCAATCTGATACATGTTTAACTTGACACTTTATGTTACCTAGGGCAGTGATTATACTAATGGTTTCTATTTAGATTTGTGTGTGTGTGTGTGTCTTTAATTGGTTGTTGAATTGAACAGTAAAGCAGTTTACCTCCTCTATGCCTTCATAGCCCTGTACAATGCTGCTTGATCAAGATGCCACAAGGCAGCACCGTAAAGAGGCTGAATGCAAAGAGGAAACAGCGAGCAGGCACACTGGAGAGGATGGCATCACTCCACAGGACTGGTTGATCCAATGACTTTTCAAATCCCTTTATTTTCCAAATGCAAAATTTTGAATTTGATACAAACACTAAGCAATTAAGAACTCTTGAGCATTTCATTGCCCCTTCCTGTGTAGTAGGTTTGTAACAACCTCTGCATCAAGACATTTCAGAAGCAATTCCATATTCTGAACTTGGAAGTTATACAGCTGTTCTGATGCTGTTAGAACTGTATCGGCTGTTTGACTGCTGCAGACCACTGTTAAGTAGTAATTACATGAACAAATTTTTAAAACATTTCCTGGTCCATGTCTTGACAACCACATATTCATCTAGAATGCCTTGTACCAGCCAACCTTCCTGCCACTGCATACTAAATTATACAAGACAAAGACCAAACTGACACACGTACCCAGCTATTAACATCCCACCTGTTACTAACCTCATTGAGAGCACACATCCTGGTGATGGAGCCGATGTTATTGGTGATGGTGACGAGTGTTGCCCTGGCCAGGTCCTCTTTGGACACGGACTCCCTCTTTTCTTTGGACATCATGTTGCCAAAACTATCACATCAAAACACAGGACAAAAATACTTCAGAGGCTTGTTCAAATTCAGCAATCTTGTGTGTCAAATGACCAACCCAAAAGCATCATTCAGACCAGATTATTTTTATGTAACAAACTGGAACACATAGAACATTCAGATAGTTGATGGACATTCAAACTGTGAATGAAAATATGTTGCCCAAAATGCATCAAACTGAAACCAAGGCTTCTTGTTTTCACCTTAGGATAGGAAAAGTAAATTTAGCACTGCCCTGGATCCCAGCTTCATTAAGGCTGTGATTCCATTTATGCTGGAATCCACCACAAGCAGGCATTGTGACCTAGAGTGTGAACACAAACGCAGCTGTAAACCGCACCTTGAGGCTACAGCCCAGCCTGGCAGCCCAAACCTCTCATAGTCTCCTCCATAAATGTCCCGAACCAGCTTGTCCACACGAGTGCTCTCCCCTTGAGAAGCCATTTCTAGAGCTTCCTCAAAAGTAGAGCAGCCAGTCAGCAGGCAACACAAGCCCAGGAAGGTCCCACCACCGAGGCTGTCAGCACACACAGATACACAAACCATTAGAAGTGTAGTAGAAATGTGAAATACAAGTTCACATTTGGAGTCTAGAACTAAGGATGAAAATAAATGTCTCTGACAAACGTTCAGTCTAATACTCAAGTGTATTAATTTTGGGTACATTTTACAGACTCCCATTTCAAAATCATTCATGTTCTGTTGTGGGCCAGTGACATGCACAGCAAACCAATGTATTTTTAAATGTGTAATGCTATTCTTACCTTACAGTAGTTTTGTTAGTCATGCTTTTGCTTATTCTAAGACTGTAGAATATAATAGGACCTCTAAACAGCACCTTTAGTCTGTCAGCAGTGTCAGATGAAAGCTCCATTTATCATCAAAATTAATTCAAAAATATCTTGCATTGTATTTTAATGTGTTCATTTCTTCCTGAAAATCAATACTGACTAACACTCTATCTTTCAAATAGTTTCACCTTCTAGACAAAATCTGAAATTAAGTATGGAACAAGGGGTAACTGAGCCATCTTGAAGGAAGCTGTGGATTCCCTGTGGACTTGGGTCATGGTACTGCAAAAACATCATGAGCACTAATTACTTAAATACCTAAATGTAAAGAATCCTGGTATATTTAAATCAATTCTAACCCTGGAAGTACATTTTCACAACAGCAAGCTTTAGCAAATAAGAAACCAAAGGCAAATATCTTCTCATATTTGAACTGTAAAATGACTAATAATCAGAGTCCACCAGACACTGTAATGAGTGCACAGAAAATCTTCAATAGTTACCTGGTCCCAGTAACTCGTTTGTAGTTGTTCTCAGAGTAGACAGCCAGGATGCTGACCCCAGAACCTATGTTGACCAGCAGCAGAGGATAGGGGTTCTCCAGTGTGTAGGGCCTCTGGATGCAGTGATCTGGGTCTGTGGGGTTTTCAAAGTAGTAGCACTCTGAAGGGCCACTGGATACCACTGAATCAATATATAGCATCCCCCGAATCAAACAGTCCAGCTCATCCAGCTTGTGAAGCTGCAGGTCAGCCATCTTTTTTTGTTGAGAAAAAAAGAGAACATGGATAGCATCACTATGGGGATATGGTCAGAAGAATACAGAGGACGGAAACTAGGGGAGGAGGCAACGAAGGGGGGAGAAAACAGGAACCTTCATTACAATTGGTCTCACTAAAAAGAAAGAAAACTTTACGCAAGTATTACGTCTGCATCCTCTTGTGATTAAAGTTTACAAGCAACTCTTTTTTCTTGCCTAAATTTGTAGATAGTACAAAATATATCACATATCTGCTCTATATATGTAATTTCTTGTCACTGATGGGTTACAGTAGGAAAAAAAATGAGATTACCAGTGTGTCATAAAGTTAACTTTTTCACTCAATACAGGAGGAATCTTAGAATCAGAGAAGTTAAATACAATGTCCTATCTGTCCTCATATCCACTATTAAAGATGCATTACTACGTCTTTAATTGTAGATTTCAGGTTATTTTGCTATTGTACGCTCAGTGCTGTTGAGCTTTTACATGAATTTTCATCACATGCTGTATATATACTATAACTTAATGAGTCTCTCTGTCTCCTTTCTTTCCTGTCCATCCTCACTGTCCAACCTGTATAGGCAAACAAAAATAGCAGACCCACCTTGCGGAAATCAGACTCAAACTTGTATGCCCCCCCTCCAGTGGCGCAGAGGGTGGTGTGGAGACTGGAGAAGTGCTTGTTGCGAGCCATCTGCAGGAAGATTGGCAGGTCGTGTGTGGGGAAGCGTATGAAGTGCAGGTTGCCTGTCCTTCCACACAACGTCAGGTCGTGCAGCTCCAGGTGAACATCCCTGATGCCCGTTGTGCCATAGGCTGTGTTGGAGGTTAGGTAGTGCCGGATGCTCTTCAGGTTCTCCACTTCTTCCTGCTCCTCCTCTGCTGTAATGTCTCTGGGCTCAAAGTACACGAGCTTCACCAGAGTTCCTCCAATGTCCATTCCAAACCAGGGAAATGCTGCATTATGTGACATAACATATGCAAACAAAAAGAAAATCACTAACCAATATTTTGTCAAACCTTTATTACACTGAATTATAATAAAGGCATATCATTAATATCTTAAGGTTTTGTGACACAGAGACAATTACAGCAGTTGGCCCACGCAGTTTCATCCACAGAAGCAACAGTACACAGTGTACCGCGAACGCCATCTTGTTGCTAAATAGATCCTGGCTATGTACTGCCGCTACATCTCACCGATATTACACTGTAGTACCAATACCACAATGACTGTCAGTTTTAGCATCATCCCAGCACATTATACTGCGACTCAGATGTATTTTACGGAATTTATCTGGTCCATTACAGGACTTTCTTTCCAAACCTGCATTTTCATTGACTGTCTTTTGTGAGGAACGCTATTAATTTTTGTATAACATACATACAAAGGTGCGTTTCCCAGTAAATACACAATTTCCAGCTAGGCTAGTAATGTTAACACCTACGCGGCCTTGTTTTCCTCACTGAGTCGCTCCGACGCCTCGCAGTCGAGCTGGGCATCTGCCGGTCGGATGTGGCCCTTCCTGCGGGCGCGGCAGCCTCCTTGTTGGGCTCGACTCTAAAATAACCGGACATCTCCTTGCTGGACCGCGGCTGCTTCGTGGGCGTTTCGTCATTGTCGGTAGTATCATCGTCGTTCCCGTGGCCATTGAACGCCATTTAAATGACTAATTAATTACATATACGCCATAGTTTATGGTAAATTAAACAACAAAACGCCAATAATTTCTGACAACAGTAAAGCCCGATGATTTGCTAGTTAATTAGCAGCTAACTAGCCGTATGCTTACAAACGGCTGGGATACACGTCTTCTTTATGTTCGCTGTCAAGACCGAGGGGGCGGGGCTACAGGGTGATTGAGAGGAACCATAACCAATCAGAATTTGTATCAACCAGTCAGCATGTCACAGGATGCTGATGTCACATTTTTGTTGATTATCTTTGTCAAAAAAAGATAGTTAAAAAATAAAATCTGAACAGCCCTCGGCAAATTACATGTTTTGTTGATTTTTGATGTAAAAAGTAAAGATCCCCGCAGAAAACATACATACAAAATTCACCTTCAAAATTAGCCTTCAAACCTTAAAACACTGTTACTTTTTGTTCTCCAGATGGGTGCAACAAGCTCTTCTCCAGCTCCCACAGCAAATTATACAGCATCAGTAGCAGGTGAAAACTTTGTCACTACTAAGTAACCCATCTCTGTCATGAACACAGATTATGATACAAACCCTGGGCACTGACAGCACAGATGTGCTGAGGAACAGAAGTATTTGAACACCCTGCGATTTTGCAAGTTCTCCCACTTAGAAATCATGGAGGGGTCTGAAATTCACATTGTAGGTGCATTCCCACTGTGAGAGACAGAATTAAAAAAAAAAATTCAGGAAATCACATTGTATGATTTTTAAAGAATTTATTTGTCTTGCACTGCTTGGTAGGCCTACCAAGGATACAGCAAGATGCTCATGTCCAGTTTTTACTGTACATCTTTAATAATGTTTTATTATTAAAAAATACATTAACTACATTTTTATATTACATTTTCAACATCAAAATTTGAAGAGATACATTACAGTCATCATAGTGGCCATTTAAAAACCCAATTTTCATTGTGTTGAGTTATTTGTCTCAGTAGAGCAATGGCTTTAAAAAACGTTTGGGACTTTTGGTCCAGACTAAGAACCAAATACACTTCAAAATATGTAATATAATGCAGTGTTCAGCCAATTCTTTTTTGAGTGCTGAATATCTGAGACAGTGCTTTGGTATATTTCTGACACACCAGTCTTAATATACATTGAAATACCTACAATATATACAGGTGCTTTAACAAGTATTCAGGCTCCTTCACATTTTGTAAACTTTATTTTGTTGTAGATTTAATTTGTCGTTTTTCTAAAATGGCCATTTTGCCTGTGACTCTTCTTTCAATAACCCAAAGTAAAAAAGTTCAAGGAACTGTCAGTATTTGGCTGCTTCCATCCATCCCTCAGTGCTGCCATCATCACGCTTCACCGTAGGGATGGTATTAGCAGGAGATGAGCTGTGCTTGGTGCTTGGAGTTTTGCTCAGAAGGTTTCACTTCTGTCTCACACCAGAAAATCCTTTCTCCAGTGCTCTCAGAGTGTTTTAAATGCCATCTGGCAAACTCCAAAAGGTCACTTTTATCCATTTAAACTTAATCTACAGCATAAAGTGCACAAAAGGTGAAGGGGTCAATACTTTCTGAAGCCATTGTAATGTACAGAATATATACTGCATGTACAAATAAATAGAGACAGTGCATTAGCTGCAGTTCATTGCATCACATACAGTATGCTGAAAAAACATACTACGACCTGGATGACTGAGTATTTGCACGGATATCACATACATTACCAGTATCAAGAGGAAATGAAACATTACGGCCTATGATGCCGGTTCTCCTACTTTCAGTGCATATCCAGCAGAATTTAGGTCCATGATACAATGATCCTTACAGAAAGACAACAACAGCCTTATTTCAAAAGTGCTTATCAGATAAGTGAACGTACAACATTTCTATCGTTAATACACAGCCTCAGTGTAGCTTTACACATCAAATAAGTGCAGCACAAATAAGATCAGCTTTCAACCCAGCTCTAAGAATTCCCCTACTAAAATGATAAAACACAGTCCAACTTAACAAGAGACTTGTAATTAATAACATGATCAAAGGTCGGGCAAGTCAGCTATTATAACTATAGGTAATTATTAAACTGCAGGCTCATGCCATCCCTGTCCAGTGACTACAGTAAGGCACCATACCCTTAAAATCCTCTTTCAACAGCCTTAAAGCCAAATTCCCTTATTTCCTAAACCTCCACACTGACAGCAGTACAAGGGCGCTCACTCCGGCAGTAATCAGAATGTACTTTTGATTAGTTCTCAGCATCCTAGAGGCTATACTCCCCTCTGAATCCGGTAGCGGCTCTGGTGAAACTTCAGCTGGTGCGGGCTCAGAGGGGTGGTAGTTCTCACTGGAGTGGGTGTTTAAACTCGATACAGTATCAGCAGTGGTGGCGGAGGATGGCGATGCACAGCAGAACTCCTTGGCTGCTTCAGCGTTGACGATTTGATCTTGTGGAGCTGTGGGTTGACCGTCTAGGTTAAGAATAGACGGCTCCTCGGATACTTGCCCCACATTCATCCGCACATCCTGTATTCCGAAACTATGACACGGAGACTCATACTGGTTCTCCTCTGGTTCATAATAGTCAAGAGCAACACCATTCTCCTGACATGGCAGTCCAGAGACAGTAAACACTGCAGGAACTTGAACAGAGGTCACAGTGTTCAGTGCAGCCTCGCTTATTTCCAGACGTTCACTGCTTCCTGAGTAGGGCTCCACCAGCGAGCCGTGTGCAGGGAGAGCACACAGCTCGCTGGTGGAGTACACAGTGTGATCCTGTGGTGGGACGCTGACGAGTTGGCCGGGTTTGCTCAGATACATGTCAAAGTGAGAGGCGCCCACCACCGCGGCAGCAGGTAGGGGGGAAGCTGCAGCTGCCGTTTCTCTCTGTCGGCTGTTTTCAACAACCTGCAGGTGGAATGGATGCCACATGTCATTTTTATAAATCAGTTGATGGACAAAACATTTTTCTAATATTCTGTTAGTTGACAAGACTAAACTTTAAATATACCCCTTCACTGACAGTGTCAACAATAAATGAACATTGTAAGCTTTACAAAGACAGGAATTATTGCAGGATTTTACTAGTTTAAACAGGTCTGTTAATAAACTGGTAACTCAGTTTTTCATTCAAATACACTGCGCTGCTGGGTGAAAATGTCACGATGAAAATTTTGCTTTATATTATTAGATGTATCATTAACTTTGGCCTCATGAACATATTTTAAAAACCCTTAACATTATACTAAAACACTTCACCCTAAAATGCTTCATTAGCACCTTGGGACAATTTAGTTGTTTATTATTATAGATGAATTTCTCAAAGTGATGTCTCTGGAGATAATTCTTATTAAGCTAAATAGAAGTTAATAACAAAGCAGTCAATTACAGAGGAGAAAAAATACCAATTATAGCGGCCAAAGAAGCAGAAAATACACCAGATTGCAAAGCATCTACAACTACAACTTCTGTTATGTCACAAATCAAATAAATGAGACACTTGGTTATAGGTAACAGGTAACAGGGTTAAACTCTTCTCACACTGTGTGCAGTGCATACTTGTGCTCTATTAATGGCGTTTCAGTCCTCAGGCCTTCATAAGGTATTGTAAAAGTCATTAATGAATTTATTTTATATTTTAATAACGTGATAATAAAGTGAGGAGGAGTGTGCAGGATCTTTTGTTTTTTATACCTAAATACTGAAGTTGCATATATAGCATAGTATAAATTGATAATCACCTGTGTGGCTGGAGGTTCAGAAGTCTCGTCCGGCTCCAGGACATGTACCTTTTCCATAGGAGGTCTGGTGTCCTGGACTGGGGGCTTCTTTGGGGTCACTGTGAATTTGGAAGATCCACTGGTCAAATGTGAGTTTGCCTGAGTTTGAGAGGAACTCTGGGGTGGCCTGTCCTCGGCGCTTGTTGTTGCTGTTTGCAGAGACTCTGGGCGGGACAGAGGGTTGATTGAAACAGAGCTGATTGAAACCTGGCTGCTTCCTGCGCTCACTTGATTAGGGCTGACACCCGTATCACCAGAGACATCCTGGATGTCTGACTCAGAGTTTTCCTCTGGCTCCTGATGAGCAAAAAGCTCCCTCTTTGGTACCGGAGGTGGTGTGCGGGCTGGAGTGTGTAGGGTCTCAGGGGACAGAGGAAGTGTTGATGGAGGCGGTGCCACGTCAATCTGAGCTGACTGTGGAGGCTCAGGTGGAGAAACAGCCTTGGGAACTTGGGCTGCTGAGCTCTGGGCGGCTTGTGGCTGCACAGCGTTTTCCAGAGGGGGTGATGCCTGGGCAGCAGGCTGTGGAGGAGCTGACGCTTCAGCTGGCAAGGCAACAGGTGCTGGAGGGGCCGATGGTGCTGGATGGACCTGTACGTTGACAACACCAGCGCCAGGGTTAAGATCTAGGGCAGAACAAACAATATGGTCATTTAAATCTGTTATGCTTATTAAGGTCTAAAGCTCTGAGAAATCCTGAAGGACTATCTAACCCTGATATTATACAGTGATTCGTTTATCATTTACCCATTTTAACACCAAACAAATGCACTGAAGTTCACCGGACCAGAAACATGCCATAGCAAGTTAATCTCCACAGCATAGAAAATAACACAAAACCTTCTGTTTAATATGTGATCCATATCTTTCATAATATAACACAGTATATATTCAATCAGTGTTAGTAATACATTGAAGTTGCCGAAAATATAGCTAATACAGATACTAAAGTTAGACAGTGGCCCAAAATGCAGCCAGCTGAGAATTATGTACTAACTATAAAACATAATGCCAGAATTAAATTGATCATTTTCACCGTTTTTCATCATGCATCTGAACTTTGTGCTTTTAGATTAAATTTTTAGATTAGGTTAGATTTTTTTACCCTCAAGGACACACTACAGACAAATAAGAGTCTTTTCTTGCTAAATGCAATTAGCTGAAAGCAGTTTCCTTATGATTTCATAGATATTGAGTCTCTTTATTTTTTACAATATGTTTCTTCTGTCAACTTTATGTCCCATCTGTTTGTCATCAATCATATATGACGCCTATTTCCACTGACTCTCACTGAAGTGTTCAGTTTGCAGTATATTACTTACAGATATCCAAATTACAATTTATAAGTTTACGATTTTGGAATTTTTGGAGCTTCATGCTCAGTTACTGAAGGTCTCCATTCTCACACACATGTCTGAACATAGTTGTGTGTTATCTCTGAGGCCAGACAACAGGGAGACACTGCATAAATCATCTTACAGTACAGTTCACTTGCTCACCAAGAACCTGGTCTGAGCAGAAAACTATTAAAATTGCAAACATTATGCATTTATTTCCAAACAATTGCAATGTACTGTGCTCCAGTGTCCACACACTCAAGTATATGGATGAAAATGTGTATACTTTTGCACATTCATAATTACTACATGTTTGTTGATTGTTCTGCATGAACCATTTGGCATTTTATATTTTGGTGACATTAACAAACTGATGCTATTCTAGAAGAATGCTGAGCCTAAACTGTTGTTGCAGATTACACTCAACTGGACTCAGATTTACTCCTTTAATGTCACACACACTATGTAGAACACAGGGAAACAGAAAGATGACGATTAGCTATAGTAGCACCAAATGTTGTTCATTCTCTGCATATTCTTTTAGCAACATATGATCCTGACATTAGAATACACAGTACTAGGTAAATTAACTTGCTCACTTACTGTTAATGCCTCTCAGAGAGTTGTATTCAGCTCGAATATCAGCTGCAATAGTTGTGTGCTCACACTCCTCAAGTGCTTGAATGAACTGCTCTGGCCAGTTTTCTCTCCTCTTCAGACAATCCAGCAGAAGCATCATGGCATCATGATTCCCATTAATCTCTCTTTTAGCCTCTATAGTTTCCTAAAATGACATTTTATTGAAAAACAGACAAAACACATACAATTTCATGTCAATTAATAATAGTAGTACTTAGTTTCTCCTCAATGACTTTTAACACTGGAGGTGATTTTTTTTTCATTTGCATGACAATATTTATTCATGTTTATACCTACAATTACAGTGTCTTTTTTTAAATGCCCTTTTGGGATATAGTTGCCATCACAACAGTAATACAATGACAATCAAGACGTAATAAAGAACAGCAACCGTGATAATAATGGTGCACAACTTCACTGCCTTTTGGTACAACATAAAATGTGTCCATTGCACTGAGTCTTGAAAACTGTCAACCCTCTGGTCAGATTTACAGTCTTGTTTACTTATTCTTTGATCAACTAGTTCCTCTGGTCAAAGTTCATGTGCAGCTCTTTGTGTTAGACACTAAGCAGTTAACATCTGGGACCATCTGATTAAGTATTATGGTAAATGTACTGTACAAAATTCAGGTACAGTTGGCGCTAATATCAAAAAGTTTGGTTACAACTGCTAATGCTGTGTACCTAAGGAAACCTACCCTGTCGTGATCAGTCAAGCAAGGCAGATGGACGACAATCTCTCTCACTTTCACTGTGCTTACAATGGTCGGCAAATTCCGACGCAGGTATCCGTTGTACAGCTTGTCTCTGGCAAACATCTGCGAAAAGAGAGTGTGGACATAAACACCGAGCTAGCGAAGACTTTAATTAGTCCTGATATTGAAAAGAGAGTGTGGACATAAGCACAGAGATAGCGAAGACTTTAATTAGTCCTGATATAAATGTCAAGTTTGTAGACTTCAGAGGGATACCTCACTAAACACGCCTACATTTCAGTACATCAGTTGGCAAAACACACTGGACACATCTCCATGCTCCCCGTTCCTCCTACACATGAGATGTTACAGGACTCAAAAAGCACAGCGATGTAACTTAATCTTTGTTTTCTGCAGTGATCACAAACACAGTCTGGGGATTTTTGTTCTGTTGTCAGAGAAAGTGAAAGAAAAATCGAAATTTTAACATTTCTGTTTTGTTTCGTTTTAGATGGGCCAAGGATGTGAATGCACAGCTGCAATGTTTTTTTTTTCTTATTCAAGGGGAAGAAAGCACTAACTTATCAAGGCTGTAGCTCTGTGGAGTCAAAAGAAGGTGAACAGGCTTAGACTAGTCAGTGATTAATCACCTCCACGCTCCAGTTTAATATCTAAACTTTAAATGTACAACACTGACTTGACTTGAAAGTGTCAAAGGTGTCACTCCAAACACACCCACACATTCTTGTAGCTTTACAGAGTCAAATAAAAAGCCTGGGTATACATATGTGTGATGAATACATCGTAAACCCCTCGGCTTGTTTGTACCTAAACAGTCAGTAAAGTTGATCTGCTATCGGGTACAGCCAGAGGGAATCATGTGTAGTGTAAACATGGGACAGCAGCAGTCTGTCTGTCTGTGGCTCAAAACTGAATAAGTGTCAGTGGCAGCAAACAAAGATCAGTGTCTTCGTCACTAGACTCTAATCTCACTGAGGCCACGGTTGACCTGACACATACAGGCTGTCAGCGAATGAGAGAGCAGGTGTTTACAGAAATATGACCGGTTACTGTGTAATATTTTCAAGCTTAAGCTGATGAAAAACTGCAGATTAATGAGACAAGGAACGTAGTGTAACAGTGGGAAAAAGCACCTTGACACAAGGGCAAATCATGCCAAGCTGAGCCAAAAACAT